CCTTATCATATGGTTTAGATAGAAAGTTAAAATGCATTTCAGGAGCAGTTCAGGTATCAATTACTACCATTTCGGAGGTTTTTTTTTCTTTTCACTGAAAATTTCTTTAAGTTGTCAAACTCCAGCAGTGCAGTCTGCAAAAACACCCTCCACACTCACAGCTCAGCTGTAAAGAAAAGCAGTGCAAATCTCTGTGAAAGCCGTCTTCTGATGTTTCACAGTTCCTCCAGCAGATGTCAGGATTTGTGGCATTTATAAAGCCTGTTCTGAAACAGGTGTCGGGACCAAGAGCTATTTTCTTCCTTGCCCAAAGTCCCGACATATGATGGTTTTTAAAAGCTAAACTATTCTTCCTGTGGTTTTGTTCTAATTATTGTCTTAATCACTTAGAAAAATAATCAAAAATAAAATAAACAAAAATAAAAAGGATATTCAACCAAAAATAAAAGAAAGTAGAATAAAAGACTTCAGCCGCTGAGTTCTTGTGGAAGGGAGAAAAAGGCTTCTTCATTATTTCAGCATCAGGTGGTAACGTGATACCCCCCCCCCACACACACCCCCCACCCTACTTCTCAAATTTTGATATTAGCTCATTCTCTAATAGGTGCATCTCTTCATCCATCAATTTGGCCGTCGCATGTTGAGCTCACTCCTAAAAACTGGCTTCAACAGGTTTTTACCAGTCTGCTCTACCTTTCAAGGTCAACTTGCCCCTCTCTTCACTGGGTCAGTAGGTACACACAGGCCTCTCTGTGAACCCAGGGGCTTCCCAGTGTCTAGAATCTCCTATGCAGACAGACTAAGCCCCACCCTTTGTGAGAGAATTAATATTCTCTGTTAGGCAATACTTCTTATTTGGTTATTGATTACAACATCTAATTTTATGCTATTCTTAATTATATTATTTATTTTCTTTATTTTCTACTTAATTTTTCTCCAGTTTTACATGCAGAAATGAAACTTTGTGGAACACAGGCGTTGTATATATCAGACTGTGCCTATGATAAATTTGAGAGCATTTTTTTCTGTTTAATTTAGTTTTAAAAAAATAATTATTTTAAAATAAAATTTCAAAATTTTACTTTTTTTTTTTTCAGTGACTCTCCATTTATATTTTCCTGTTGTCACCAGTTTTGAAATATTACAGGCCTTGAGTCCTTCAGTGACTGCTCAGAACTCATTTTTCTTGTTGTTAACTGTTCGGCTGTCTGAGTAACGTCTCTCTGCTTTTCTAGACTCTGTGATGTGACACACATCATAACTTGGGTGTGTGTGCGCGTGTGTGTGTTTGTGTGTGCGCGTGTGTGTGCGCGTATGTGTGTGTGCATGCACGAGGTTTCGTTTCTGTTGTCTGAGCGGCTTTTTTCCCCCGTCTATAATCTATCAGCCTCATACACTCTTTACTGTGAGCCTGTGTGTGGTGGGTGGAGCTGATTATATTGCCTGAACTTTGTCTGTGAATTCGGCACAATAAAAGCCTGAAGGCACCCAAAAAGAGTGCTGAATGTCTAGACTCACTCGCTTGGGTTACTGACACAAGGTGAGTTTCCATTTTTCTACACATATAAACTCCATATTTAGGCTCGAATATATTGAGGTTTCATTGAAAAGGACTGTATCTAGTTCACTGGTGATAATGAAGAATCTAACATGTTATTATGGCTTTCTATGAAGATCTTTTCAAGATTTTCCGGTTCTATTTATTTATTCCAACATTATTTGGTAATATATCGTTGGAATTTAGTCTTTTTTTCCAGAGATTTATTTTTTTCATAGTGTTTAGGTTTTCCTGAGATAATGTCTTTTATAGTGCGTTTTATCTTTCTTTCTGCTTAGACTCTCTAAAGGTTGTATGATGTGACTTCAATCAGTGATTTAATTGTTTTATAATCTGTCAATTGCTTCACAATTTTATGCGACGTACAAAGAACTAAGTGTAATGATTGGTGGCTAGTATGCCAGAGCAGGGTGTTCACTGATAAAGAGGAGACGGGTTCATTTCCTCAACATTTGGGGTCCCAAGTCCAACTCTTATTGTGTACATCAAAATAATGTACACAGAATAGTTCAAACTTCATTCATTTTGATTAGGAAAATAAATGGTTAAATAGTGAAGACTGTGAAACAGTAACTATGTACTATATGTGGCATGCAAAAGTTTGGGCACCCCTGGTCAAATTACACATTTCACAGAGACCACACTTCTGCACATTTTTATACACAGTTGCTGTTTATGTGCTGAATTTAACATATTGGAAAAAAATAAAACATACAATGTGGCCTGTGCAAAAGTTATGGCACACTATATACTTTATGTATTATGTTTTATTAATAAGTTAGACTCAGCAAATAAACAGAAATTATGCACAAACTTTTGCAGAAAGATTTCACATTTAAGTGTGTTCCCCATAGAGGATGCGGTCACTTATGTTCACTTAGAAAATCAACATTGTATGCACTCTGACCAGGGCTATTCAAACATTTGCATACAACTGTATAGGAAAAACACAATCTACTGTATTTAAGTAAATAAATAAACAAACAAACTACACACTTTTGCTTGGGGGCCCTGAGTAGCAACTTATACTGCTTATAGCTAGAAACAGCCCTGGAGGAGACACAAGGTGCTACTTAATGTTTTCTCAGAATGGAATAACTTTAAAATTCTGATACATGATATCAGATACATCTGGTATCTTTGGAGCAATTTGGAAATGCTCCACATAAACAGAGTTTACAATAATGAATGAAGACCACAGAGCAGCTGGCATTATTCAAATGTCACCAGTCAAGTTTTCATTTAATTAGGGTTTAGGTTGAAGTCCTCCTTTTATTACGTGAGCCGAAACTAGTTCAGCTTCCTTTGCTATTGTTTGTATTCCGAAATAAGGAATGTTACAATCCTCCCTACAGAGTACTGTCAACATCAGAACATAGTGGTTAAGGTTTGACAAAATTAGGACAACCCCCCCCTCTGTGGGACCATCCCTCCAGACAGCCTCGCCCAATCAGCAGAGTGTAGAAGGACGGTTCCAAGAAGCAGCATCGCTGCAGGTTTATCAGGGGCATACAGTCCACTGTGTCACGCGTGGCCACCCTCTGACAGCCAGCTTGAGGACTGAAACTCCTGGACAACAACGTCAGCCAGGTCTCATGAGCAGACTGCGTTATCTAATGCTTTTAACTACATTCGGCTGCGCTACTGGCAGTATTTTTAGCTTAGAATATGTCCTAGATAATATCATCCGGGTGTCGGTTGAAATACCTCAGTAATCTCTTCATTGTTAGCAGGTAAGTGAGAGCTTTTCAGTCCAATTATGGAATTTTAAGTGTTTTTTATATTTGGTGTTCATCTTGCTGTCACTAAACTGACCTTTAGTAATAGTAAAATTGACCTTTTACTCTTTATGACAAATATTCTTTTATGTAATATTTGATATTCCACCTGACATTCAACCCAGTCCTCTACCTGACATTCAGTAAAAGCTGAATTCCTTTCTTTTATCCACTTATGCACACCTTAGATGAGTTAAGCCTACAGGCATCCAGTATTATGCTGTAATTACAATGAAAATGCCTCAGGCTGAAATCTTTTATTGTTTAATTCCATTGTTCAAGTCATTGGTTGAATTCTTTAGAGATAATGCAGGCTTAAATTGTAAATGATTGAAAAGGGAGTGGCGATTCTCCTGCATTTCTCACGCCACCTTCATTCAAAGTCATGTGCTCCATCTTTAACACTGGATTGCCTCGTTAGCCATAAAAATATTTCAGAACGATCTGTTTTGAAAACACTTTAAATGGCAGCTCTCACATCTTAGTTCCTTGGACATGCAGTCTCATCCGAAATTATTGGAACGGCAAGACCACTTCTGTGTTTGTTGTATGCTGAAGTCATTTGGGTTTGAGATCAAAGGATAAATATTGGCCCTTAGAGTTACAAGATTCTATCTGACATTTTTGTCTAAATTGAGTTATTCACATATTCTTATTCTGTGGTGACCTCATAACATTATGTGAGGTGTTTTTTTGGAGTTGTATGTTTGGACTCTTTATGTAGAAAACAAAAAGGTTCTATCTCCAAAGTCAAACTCTAACTAAATTCTATAAGGTTCAATCTGCAAGCCAATCAGCACTCCGAGTACACACAAGAGGACCAATCAGGCTCTGCTTCTTTGTCATGTCGCTGCACTGCTCAGTGACTGTGGGAAAAATTTATAAAACTTTATGAAACATGAAAATGTGAAATATGAAACATGTTAAAGTGTTTTTAAGTTTTTATTAAGTCTTATTATTATAGTGCTGTCGCCTCACAGCAAGAAGGGCCTGGGTTCAGTTCTTTCTGTGTGAAGCATGTTCTCCCCGTGTCTGTATGGGTTTCCTCCCACAGTCCAAAGACATGCAGTCAGGCCAATTGGACACTTTATATTGCCTCCAGGTGTGAGTGTGGGTGTGAATGTATATGTCTGTCTGTCTGCTCTGTGAGGGCGACCTGTCCAGGGTGTTTCCTGCCTTCCACCCAGTGACCACTGGGATAGGCTCCAGCACCCCCCACGACCCAGAAGGATAAGCGACTTAGAAAATGTGTGTGTGTGTGTGTGTGTGTGTGTGTGTTTTATTATTATTGTTATTATTATTAGATTCAGCCTTAAAGGAAATTAAATAGTAAACAATTAAAGTGATGGAGTCTTAATTACAACATAAACTATAATTTAATTCATTCATCCATCTTTTCTTTTCCTTCTTTCTTCCAAAATAAGACATTTTGGCTCATTAGAGTCACATTTCTGATATTAAACAAAACCTCATACTGCCTTTATACTAACACACTTAGGATGTCTGTCATTTTCACTATTTGGAATCCAAAATCTTTGAAGCTCAGTATCTCAAACTGCTCAGAACGCAGATAGAACCTTAAAATTCCATGGGAACGATGTGAGCACATAGGTCAGAATTTCAGCTTTGATTTCCTGATATTTACATCTAGATCTATTTAGAACATGGCACCTGTAGTGGTAGACTGCCTGATTTTTAGCTGTACAGGAACAGATAGTACATAACCTTAATATTTGGTTGCATGTCCCTTTTGTGGTGTTTTCAAGGCTTTTACTACAGCTTCTTTCAGTTATTGTTTGTTTGCATTTCATCTCCTCTTCAGGAGGTGAAATGCATGCTCAATTGGATTATGGTCTAGTGATTGACTTGGCTAAAACCTTCCACTTACTTACTTACTATAATGGTAAAATTGGATGGAAAGCATATTTCTTCAAATATTTTGTGTATAAACATATTAAATAGTTAAAATAGAGCTATAGTGAGGGAAAATAGTGAGTATTAGAGGTAAAACTGACAGAGCTGAGTCTGTGAACTAAAGCCATTAAAACACTGTCCTAATTTTACAGAGACAAGCAACGTATTTATCACACACTCCTCAAGATGCACACAACCCAGGAGGAGTGCAAACTCTGAGCTGCTCATGTCATCCAGCTGCATCACCTGTCTTTGTGCCTGCTGAGGACCGCCTTTCTTCCAGAAACACCATGGGCAGCACCCCTAAACGATGGGTCATGAAGCCCCTGATGCCTAAGCTGGAGAAGTCAGACCTGCGGGCCATGTTGAGCCCCAGCAGCGAGCCACATTCGCCAGACAGCAGCTGGAATCTCAGACAGGAGGGAGGTTCACCCATATTCAACTTTGATAACATCTCGGTGACTCGCGTCCACTCCTCTGTGACTGTGTCAGCCCCGAATGGAGATCGTGCTCAGGATGTGGTGCTTCATGCCAGGCAGGTGGCGGTATCTGAGGAAGGCAGCGCCACTGAAGACTGGCAGCCAAGTGACCCCAGCAGCCCTGGCACTCCCAGTAGCACAGACTCGCATGTGGGTTTCTACTCCTTTGTGGATGACCCAACAAGCCCAGAGGCAGAGAGGAATGAGGCTTATATGGTTTCACCTGAGAGACAAGCCAAACTGTCCACCCTGAAAGAGAAGAGTAGTTTCAAGCTGCAGACTTACGTAGAGGACCGAAGACCCGAGAAGCTTTTTGAAGAGAGTAATGGAGATTCTTGCTACCAGGTGGAGGATATCTCAGCAGAGGACAACGAAGAGGAGAACATGGACAGGATTGAGATCATCCGGAATCAGGCGCCTAGAAAAAACCCTGTCCTCAAAGAGCAGTGGAGTGCTTTGGAGAACCTGGATCTTACCAACTCTCCTCAGCGTCTATTTGAGGGATTTAGCCTGTGCTACAGTCCTGCAAGCCCAACAAGATCCCAGACTGAAGTAGAGCCTGGCACCATTGATAACCAGCAAATTGATTTTAATGCCGCACGCAAGCAATTCCAAATTATGGAGCAATCAAAGGAAAACCCCTTCCGGTATAGTCCTCAACAGATGCCACACTTTTCTAAGTTACGTGCACGATCTTTGCCAGCAGAGACTGGCCTATTTAAAAAAGAAGATAGCACAAATAAGAATTTTAAGGATGAGTCAAGCCAGAATCAAAGTCCTTGGAAGAAACAAGTGGAGGAAGCAAAGTTGACGGTGATTGTCCATGAGGATCCAGAAGACAGGATTCAAAGTAACTTGATCGATGACCTAGACTCAGGTGACCAGAGGAAAGTCTTCACATATGATAGAAGTTTGTCTGGTGAAGCCTTCATGCCAGAGATGAGGAGTAGCTCACCAGTGGCCAGCATGAGTGAAACACCTGAAACACCGATTGAGAGAGAGATCCGAATAGCGAGGGAACGAGAGGAGGACTTGCGGCGATCAAGGGGAATCTTTCGTTCTGATACATCAGAGATGGTTGAGATTAAGACCAAACCAATTCTGTCACAGCCATTGCCAGAGTTAAAGCCTATCAAAACCAAAGAAACAAATAGGGTGAGTTTTCTTATTCAACAAGAGATGGACAAGATGAATCGGAGCCAAAGACTATCTGACAGAGGGACTTCAATTGATCTAATTGAGAGGAGGAACACATTTGGGTCTCAATTAGATGAGGTACCTAAAAGATCTGTTAGTGTGGAAGACTCATGGATTGTGGAGCGTCCTATACTTGTAGAACAGAGGGATGTACCTGACTCGCAAGAGATCCTCTCACCTTGCTGCCCCCACCGACACCAAGATGAGACAATGATTCAGAAGGGCCCCACTGTAGAATTTGTAGACAGAACTGTCAGAACAAGCTTTTACTCTAAGGAGGGGGCAACTGAGCAACAAGACAGTGTTACCAAAGTTGCAAATCAGCCATCTTGGATGGCAGCATATAAAGCAAAAGAGTCCGGGAGAACAATTTCCCCTCTAAATTCTCCGTCCTCTCCAGCAGAACCTGTAAGAAGCAGCAGATCCACAGCAGCCAGGAGATCTAATTGGGAGAGCTCAGTTGAGTGGCCCCGATTGCTAAGTGCCTCTGATATAATCCGTAAGGAAATCGAGGAGGACCTCAGGCGAGAGCAGGAGCTTCAAGAGCTACGAGAAGCCAGTAGCCTGTCCCTCATGACAGACAAAGGCAAGGGCACCTCAGAGCCCACAACTTCGGAACCCATCGCCAATAATAATGACCAGACTTCATTAAACAGTTCTCAGGAGAACCTGTTGGAGGCTGTACTACCAGAAAAATATAGACAGAGGCCCAGTCACAGTTTCTCCTATTCCTGGAGTGAGGAAACTACCCCTACTCGCATTTCATTGGCAGGTAGGACAATTTAATGTTCAATGTTCAAGTTATTTGCTAACTTACTAACTAGTTATTGCTAACTTACGAACTACAATGGTGGAAGGTAGTCTTGAGGCACCCTCTGAATACAATTTTAGTCTTGTTTATGTATCACTCTCCAAGCTAAAGCTGTTCATCCATATCATTCAGAAAAGTTTCCAACCAACAAAACCAAGTTTACCAAGTAAAACTCAAAGTGATTCTGGTAATTAACTGGCAAGTAAAAGTTCTCAGACATTAGTTGAGCAAACAGTGTTTCTTTCCATTATGTAGGTTTGTATTTAGCATTTTATTTAGGCCAGTCATATGTTGCATACCCCTTCTTTTGAATGACAGCATGAAGTCTTCTAGGCATGGAGTGAATGAGCTCAACCAGACTTGTTGGATTTAACTCTTTTGAATGGCCAGGGCATGGCAGGTTAAAATTTAGTTACGGAGTTAGGTGAGTTTTCTAGTTTGTTATTGTTCAGTTGAACCCAAAGTATTGATTAATAAGTTGTAACATATCTCAAATTATGAACTTTGAAACATGGTAATGCACAATTTCCTTAATACAGCGATAAATTAAATAGTCCTCTCCACAATTATTGGCATCCCTGGTAAAGATGAATAAAAAGGTTATAAGACATTCGCCTTTTGGTGAATTAGGTTAATCTCACACTGAGTCATATCCAACCTATAAATGAAGTAAATTTATTCATCAAGAAATAATTATTTTTAACAAAATCACATGTGCCACAATTATTGGCACCCCTGCATTTAACATTATGTACAACTTCTTGTTGCAAATAAAACAGCACATAGTCTTCTCCTATAACATCTTACAAGGTTGGAGCAGGGAATTTAAGACCATTTCTCTTTATACAATCTCTCCACATTGTTCAGGGTCCTAGGTCCTTTCTTGTGTACTCTCCTCTTTAGCTCACCCTACAGGTTTTCTATGGGGTTTAGATTAGTGGACTAAGATGGCCATGGCAGAAGCTTGATTTTGGGTTTAGTAAACCATTTTTGGGTTGATCTGGACATATGTTTTAGATCATTGTCCTGCTGGAAGATCCAATGATGACCCATTTTTAGTTTCTTGGCAGAGGCAGAAAGATTTTGGTTTAAAATGTCCTGGAATTTCATGATGCCATTTGCCCTAACAAGGTTCAAAGGGCCTTTGGAGGAAAAAAAGCCCCACAGCATCACAGACCCTCCACCATACTTAAGCGTGGGCATCAGATTCTTTTCAGTATAGTCAAACCCACCTTGAGTGTTTGTTGTCAAAAAGCTCAATTTTCATTTATCTGACCATAGAACATGGTCCCAGTGACGTTTAGCAAACTCTCCTGGTATGCCTTCCAAATATTCTGTTGGTGGTGTCTGATGGTAGTTTTGGAGACCTAGTGACCCCAAGATGCTGCTTTATTCTGTAACTCTCCAACAGTGATCCTTGGGGATTTTTGTTGCCTCGTTTACCATCCTCCTCACTTTGCATGGAGGCAAAATAAACTTAGGTCCTTGTGCAGGCAAGTTTGTCACAGTTCCATTTGATTGGAACTTTTTAATGATTGCCCTAACTGTAGATATGCCCGTCTTCAGGTGAGTAACTATATTTGCTAGCCATTCCCTAATTTATGAAGGTCAACACCCTTTTCCCTTGTTTGAATAGTGTATTTTCTTGTCTTTGCCATGTTGAAGAATGACTAAGGGAATTTGACCTCATATATATGCCCCAGTGAAACAGGAAGATGTTGCTTACTACTTGAAAGTTTCCAGAGACTCTGATCAACTTTAAAAAGTAAAATATAAATGGAATAAATGCTTTAGTTACATTGAGGATGAGGATTTTTTATCTCATAAATTTACTCCAATTAAAGGTTGAATTTTTCTTATTTTCAGTGTGACATTAAGAGCCCTTTTTACTCATCTTTACCAGGGGTATCAATAATTGTTGAGTGGATTTTAGTTCTAAAAATGAATGATGATAAAAGTGTCTCAATGCTACGTTTGAGTACTGTAGTTAGTTCCAAAGGCTTTGAAATATTTAAAGCCTAATAAGATTTGTAACGAACTTCATAGTAGAACCATCTATGACGGAAGTAAGAGAATGCCTTATTGATTTTCAAAAGTCATTATCAGTTTGGCAGAATAGCAAATTTAAAGCACTATCAGTGACTGAGACAGACTGGTCAACGTGGAATGTGTCTATAAAACCTCAAGTGAGAACTACAGTAATCAGTCATCTGATGTTATATTCGTACGGCTCCTATAGACCCTCTTTATTGGCATACTTACATTTTTCATACTAAAGCTGCCAAATTCAGACTATATCTCAATGGACTCTATTCTTCTTATCTTTTTATTATTTTAAGTCAAAGCTTTGGTATATGAGAGACAACTGTGCTTTGCTAGAGTGCTTCTAGGATACTGTCCCCTTACCTATAAACGTAGGATCTTACTGTCTCAAACTGATTTACTAGCTGGTAACTGATTAACTTTTGCGTTACTTGTTTATGGATGTCAGCATTCAAGGATGAGTTGAAATAGCATACCTAATTAGCTTCTGAACTTTGAGCATGACAAGCATGTTGAAAGAGTAATAATACAGTGTTGAAGAGCAGTTAATTATTTATTTCATGGATATAAACCTGCAGTTACAAGAACCTTCTGGAATCAATTCAAAATTACTGGGACATCTTTTACTGCCTTATTAGATAAGCAATCTGTAATATGTGTAAATGAGTTAATTTCATTTCACTTTCATTTTTTCTCTACAGGCCCCAGTTCCAGACTTCCTTCCGTGTCCATTATGGCAGCCCAACCTTGGAGCAGCCCAAAACTCGCATCCCCAGCAATTCCAAGGGCGATTCCCACTGTCCTCGCTAGCCCACGCCCTGAGGCGTCCTCCACCCCCTCAAGCACCTCCCACAAAGGCCTGACAGAGACACTGCTGGAGGACTTTGAGGAAAGAAGGATCCGACAGAAGCTTGAGGAGAGCTCTGTGAGTGAACCACTTCAGCCAAATTTTGAATGTCATTGCACCTTCATTAGAGGTGCCTTTACTGGCAGTAGAATCTCAACTAATTGAATTGATCTGTCATGTGAACAACTCTCATCGAACTTGACCTGAAAAACACAGCTCAATATATTGAACTAATAAGATAATTAAGGGCTAAAAGGAAAAATGTCGCCGTCATTACATCTGTAAACATGCTTACTCATATCTTACAGTAGTTATGTGTACTGAAGGTGGGAGGAACTTTTTATTTTTTTTTTTTCCTGTTAGCTGGTGAATGCAGAAGGATGGCAGATAGATCATTACTGCAGCCGTGTAACTGTGGTGACTGTCTTAAGACCACCACACACACACAAACACACACACACACACACACACACACATTATCTAAGCTGCTTATCCTTCTGGGTCACTGGGGTTGCTGGAGCCTATCCCAGTGGTCACTGGGTGGACGGCAGAAAACAAGCTGGACAGTTCGCCTGTCCATTGCACTTAAGACCATTATTACAATACGATCAAATGGCAGAAAAAACTAGTCAGATGAGGCTCTAGTGTCCATTCTGTGCTGAAGTCAGAGTCACTGTTTCTTTACAGTTTTATTCAATGGCCGAGGCAACACGCTAACTAATGATAGCTTGGTTGTATTTATTAGCGTATACATCAGTGGCTAGGCTAGCAGTCTGGATTGGTTGACACCACAGTAATTCCCAATGGTTGTATAACGCATGTTGAGTATTTAAGTTAGAGAACATTGAAGATCTAAAACATGAAAATTATATAAAATCATGAATTCTTTCTGAACTGAATGAGGCTGAGGGATATAATGCGGTGCTACAGGATAAATCATAATGTGACAAATAAGGCCAGAATGCTAGGTAGCTCTGAAGCCAGCCTTGAAGAAGAAGAAGACTCAAAGGGAATTTGGAAGGGTACAAAGAGAATGCGCACAATATTGAAGGTGCTCTATGGAGTGGGATTCAAAAGCTTGAGAAAAAGTGAATATCCATTGCACTCTATTGAGTTCTTTATTTTAGCATGGCTATGGACACAAAACCACTTTTTTTCCTTAAAGAAGGCTCATGCTGAAACATGTTGAGAGAGTTTGTATGCTTCAAAAAAAGCTTTTTAAAGGTGCATAAGTCAAAATTGAAAAAAACACAAGGCATACACGTAGAATCGATGGTGCCCAGCATCAGGTTCATTTAAAGTTTGTCAGCGCTACCAAGCATCGTCATTACTTCACTTTCTGGTGATGAGGCTGCTGTCCAAGTACTCTCCAAAAGCTTCTTTGTATAGCAGAGGCGTTTGGCCAGAACAAGCCAAACTCCCGTGTCTCTTTTGTCCAGGGATAGTGTGACGTTACAGGCCTGTAAACACTTGGCATTCAGTTCATACTGATTTGGTGCTCAAGAATAGTCAAGAGGGTCCTTTATTTTGTAATAAGTTTGAATAAAATGCCAACATCAGCTTCGTCCAGTTTGCTCTGTTAACTGCGTGGGAGGTTAATGCAGTTGACTAGTATTACATCCATCTCTGTTAAGGTGGTTCATCCAAAGCAATACTTTACCTGGTTTGCTGAGTAATAAATATTTATCTTCTTGATTGGTTATGTAAAGTCAGCCATTCATTCAGTTCTGTATATGTGTTGCGTTTCCATACCTGTTGAGGAGAAACGTCACTAATTCTTTCACATATAATAAATGCATCTTTAAAAAGCACTTCTGATGATAATTCATGTTTCTTGTTGTTAAGTTTTTTGGCAGCACCACGTTTTTCCCCATAGTATTAAAACCTGCTGCTGCAGGTCAATAAATGGATTCCACCATATTTTCTTAGCCGAGCAAAAGGAGAAGGGAGTGGGCTGATGTGGTTTAGTGTAGGGGAAAATGACTGACAGGAGGTCAGTGTGAACACAAACATACCCTCTGCTCCACCCTGTCGTTTACCTAACAGGATTTCAAAGGCACATGATGCACTTGTGCTGATGCCGTTGCTAAAACATTTTTACTTTCTATTTTCCAGGTTATTTGTTCTAGTAATCAAAGAAATAACTTGTGCACTTTTAGTGCCATGGTTATTCATATTTTCTCAAGAATTTGGAAGGGGTCAGTTTTTGAGAATATCTATGAAGAGTTAATTGACCTGTCATGTGTTGTTCTAACTTTACTTAACTCAGGTTGTTTTTGTCTTGCTCTCTAGTATGCTGGGATACAGCCTGTTGATGACATCAACAATGAGGTAAGACCTGTGCTTATGCACTGCTAACACATAAACCTCTGGATCTCTAGAGCTGCTTTGCCTTTATCCTGATTTATGATTGTCGTTTCGCTGCAGGTTGTGGAAGCGACTCGTGTAACACGCCACAAAAGCACAAGGGCTCTGCGCTGGGAGGCGGGCGAGTATGCCAATGAAGGGAACAACTGAGTCTGTGCATGCTGTGAGAGTGGAAATACTCAGTGCTAATGCTAATGCCAACACATCAACTGTCTCCCGACTTGATTAACTGGACAGGCTGGATTTCAATGCCACAGAGACACCACCCTATGGTGGCACTCAATCAGAGAGGTGAAATGGACTCTGAAGGCCATCAGAGGATACAGACTGTGGGACTGTGCGTCGCAATAAATGAATGATAGCCAGCGTTTTTATTATTTGAGTGTTGGACAAAGGTGTGGGGAGTATTTTCACTGCTTATAGCACAGTGTATTCCTTTGGCAAGCTTTGGCTTCTAGAAGTTTTGGCGCTCTCTCAAAGACACAACTGCTCATTTGCTGTGTCTCTGTCCAAGAGGTATAAAATACTCCAGTTTGAAGAGGTTGTGTTAACAAAGCTCGGCAAATCCTTGCCAAGTGTCATCAAAAAGAAGCCTACAATACTGCCCATAATACTTCAATCATAATAGAATTTGCCCAGTAACAATGTTTCCTACAGATGCCTCGTTAAAGTCTGTTCCGGGCAGAGTGGAGTTTCTCAAAACAGCACGTCTTTTATTTTGAAGTAATGTTGAACTCATTTTTATAAGAGGTACAAGTTAACAGTAAATCACTTTTTATTCTTGTAAATTTGCTTGGTGATTCAAAGCAATGTGTTTCTAACATGCAACAGCAATCCCAGCATGCACTTAAAAAACAGCATTGAGTAAGCACTGATTGTAATGAACTGATTAACGTCACCTTTAGCTATTATTCTAAAAAATGCATACAGTTCAAATGAAGAAGACTTTTAGTATAATCTTAAAAGGTGGGCATGAATCTATCAAAGGATGTAGGAACCGCAAACAATTGCTCCAATAACGTGCCGTCCAACAGCACCTTGGTAGGTTATGGAAAGAAGCCTATTTAGGCCCCCTTCTTTCACTTGTTGAAGAAAAGAGGTTGTCATTGAATTCAGCTGGGATTGTACAAAGTCAGAACAAGCACCTGTATCCCTTCAGCCAGTGCTGTACTGGTAATTTAGAATCTGCAGTTATGGTGAGGGGCACATGCACTTACCTGAATGACCACTAGCAGGAGCCAACGAGTCCTTTTTTTTGAATGTGGTGGGGCTCACTCCTCTTTCACTGATATTAATTCAGTGCAAAGCAATGGTGGAACAGTTTGCACAGCACAGAACAATGTAACAAGCAGTCAAGAAAGTGTATATTATAAAAATGTTATTAAAGTTAAACAGTTTGCTACAGGCTATATTTGTACTCTTAGACAAAAAATGAGAAATAAACTGCATAATCTGCATCAAAACTTACTTGTACCCTAATGTGACATTTCTATTTTTGATTAAAGGTTGATCAGTTGGAATGGAACAAAATAAAGTTTCTAACCCACGTTGTCTGGCTCGACTGGTTTTAAAGGGACCACATTCTACATTTTTCTTGCATTTTATCTTTTCCCTTGAGGGCATCATTCACTTTTACATGACCATTTTCCAACCTCTGTTTAATACTAAGAATTAGACAGATTACTTATTATTATTACTTAGAATTATCTTAGAATTTTTCAGGTTGCTTTTGTAACTGTTCCTTTAAAACTGACATGTCATTGTTGTCAGAACAAAACCTCTTATCTCCAAAATGGCAACTTTACAGGAGAAGAAAAAAGCATACTGTACTTTTAATGTAATGGAACCAGACTTTTTTTCCGTCATTCTGGGCCATTTTGGTCCACATAGCATGAGATTTACACACAATGTAAAGGGCAACAGTCATTTTCAAATCATGTAAAAAAAAACTGAAAAACAACAAAAATGGAGATATAAGGTTTTGTTCTATATAAATGACCTCTTTTTTGATTGGTTGTCCTGGATGGTGCTTAATCCAAAAAGCAGTCTGGGATGAAACACTACTTAGAACTTCAGTATGAATGGGGTGGAGCTAAACTGCTGTAGACTAAATAGGCAGATGTGTTTATGCATGGTTTTCACAGTGGCAGTGAAATCAAAACAGCCTGTTTTTGCAGTTTTATTTCCATATATGAACTGTACAGACTGAGGAGTGAACGATGCATTTTGAAACTATAAGAATGTTTACATACCACATCAAACTCTTAAATTTACAAAAAAAAGTGAGGAAAATTCAGTTTTCCATGATATAGGCCCTTTAAGTTTCAATTATAAGACTAGGCCTAAGGAACCCTTTGTTTCTAGGCTTTTTGCATACACACAGGCACAATTTACAGGTAACAGCGAGTTATAATGCTGGCTGCTGTCCAGAATAGACTGAATTTCGCATGCACTGCAGACGCAGAGGGTATTCCCTTTCTTCCCTCTCTTACAATTTCACTTCACTACCACAACTTCCCTTTTGCCAGATCAGGACCTGGTATCTCTATAGAACTGGTGTCAGAAAGTGGGGGGGGTTTCCTGTATAGCTGGGTAGCTTTGGCATTTGAGTATAATTGTCACATTCATGTCCACTGAGACGGTCGAGTGAAAGAAGCAGAGAGAGCTGCGGGTATGTATAGTCTTATTACATTCTTAAACCTCACCTGCTTTTATACTGAATGGAAATCATTTGCAATCTTTAAGCTAAATATTATATCTAGTAGAGGTGTAAATATATGACTTTCACAAGGAATTGATATAAGATTCTTTAGAATACAGCACAGTGGATCATAAAGTGATCCGGTCCAATTTGACTGTTGTGATATGATTTAGAATTACAATGAAAACACAAATGTAACTTATGAAGCTGTTCATCTAGTAGAAGAATATAGGTGACAAAAACAATATGGTATGTTTTTCTGTTACAAATAGCATGTATATGAAATAAAAGTGTATATGAAACATAAGGTTTTGTGTAACCAAGTTTAGGCTGGACAACTGGGCAGACTGCTAACAGGCTAACAGCCCATTGTAACAATATTCAGTCAGGATGTACTGACTAACTGCAACATACAAAATAAAGAATATGCCTCTTGAATGTCTGTTACAAGCTTCAAATGATTAAAATGTCCATGTTTAAGAAGAGCTGACCAAAGTAAACCCTGCGCACATAGTGAATGTACGCTCTGTTAGCTTGGCGCTAACACTCACATAAGACTGAAATTCCCTCAGAAGTGATTAGCATTATTTTAGCAGTTGTACTCAGGCTCCGCTATAAAAGGAAGATTTTGAATTTAAATACTGCTAAACACACTTTAAAAGCATCAAATGAATTTTGTTCATACAAAATAAACATCCTGATCTCTTTTAGGAATGCATTTTGGAATCTTTGAAAGGCTACTTTATTTTAAAAAAATGTAATAAAATTGGTAGATTAATCAATGACTAATATAATCAACAGTGTCATCCTTAATTGTGATTGGTTTTAACATTTCAAAATTGATGCAAGTTGCAAAAACAGCCCATTTTGATTTCATTGTGTTAGACCACTGAAGTCGTGCATCATTCTGTAGTCCGCATTATGCCCACGTTTGGAGCCCGACACATTTTGCCCTGCGTACATTTTTTCACAAACATCACTGGATCTTCTGAATTATGAGGTCGTTAAAGAGGCATAATACTAATATTGCTACATGCAAGCTAATCCTGCTGCGTATCAATTTGATGTCACTTTAATAAATAGTGCAGCAGCAAGAGACTGGTCAATGTCCTTATCAGAAAATGTTGCCAGCTTTAAAAGAATAATTAGGATATTTTTAAGCCTAAATCAGCTTATCAGGAGGTAAATAGTAACATTAAGCTGAGTCTGTACTGAATTAACATTAAAAACACAATAAACATTTAAAACACTGAGTTACTACACTGTACTAATGATATTTACATGCTTGGTAGGACCGCTCGATGGTGGTCGTATCGCTTTGTGATTTGTCAGCCTTCTTCAATGATGACCAGTAGAGTATTAAAAGAGATGGAAACCACTTTCTGTCTGGTCGGTAGCCTGAGCACAGGTCAGCCACACTGGCAAAGCGTACTGGTTTGTGTGTTTTTTTAAGAAGGCTGCCAGTCTATTGATGTCGATTCAGTGCGCAGCAGCATTAGCTTACATGTAGCAATATTCATATTTCGCCTCTTTAATCACCTCGTAATTCAGAGGATCCAGTGATATTTGAAAGAAAAATGTTCACAGAACAAAGCATATCAGCTTTGGAACATTTTTGATTACCACAGGATGCAACAGATGCAATTTTCAAAAACTCATTTTTGAAAATTCCTTTTAGGCCTGGAGTTCTTTATATAGGCATAAGACACACCTTCAGTGGTCTTGTGTGATATCATGAGAACCAACACATTTACAGAGACCCACCTATTCAGACTACAGCAGTTTAGCTCCACACATTCATACTGAAGTTCTAAGCAGTGTTTCAGCTCTGAGTGCTTTTAGAATGCAATGCAATAGAGTGCAGCCAATCAGAATAGAGCTCAATTAACTTGGTCTTAAAGGTACAGCAACAAAAAGAGCCTGTTTAAATATGACCCCTTAAATGGCCAGGGCCCACAGGCAGGCCCAAAGTTTTACACACTTCTATAAGCTAAGAATAGCTCAGCTAGTTTGCATTTTAGTCCCTGTAGTTACAGAATAATAAGCCTTGGTATGGGATAAGCCTTGGATTTTAAGTGGTTAAGGGATAAAGTGAAACTGGAAAATGGATATGTGAAAATACTATATATATATATATATATATATATATATATATATATATATATAGAGAGAGAGAGAGAGAGAGAGAGAGAGAGAGAGAGAGAGAGAGATATTGTATGTGGATAGTCTGTATGATGTTTTTCTATGTTACAGCTCTTTGTAAAATGTATTAAAGGTAAAGTACACTGCTACACAGCACAACTTCCTGGATGATATGATGGAGAGACTTTTGACTTTAGTGGAGCCGGTGGTGATCATCCATAAACTGGGAACCTCCTTTTTTGAGATGTCCCTCACACTGACTGTGTATAATCGCTCGCTGGAAATGGCAGACGGACATGCTGACCAGGCCCAAGCGGCATCCTCACGTTTCTTCCTCATTCACTCCATCATCTCTGCCGTAGCAGCCATGCTGTCCATCATCCCGCTGGGCCGCGTGGTGGACCGAAGGGGTCCTAAGGTGTTTCTGGTGTTCTCTCAGCTGGGCTCAGTCTTGGGCATGTGTTTCCTGCTTGTTTTCCTGTTCTGCAGGTTACCTGTGGAGTTTCTTTTCCTGGGCTCTATGGTATATGGCCTCAGCGGGGGCACTCCGGCCTACTGGGCCGGCGTGGTGGCTTTAGCGGCCCTCAGCTCCAAACAAAAACACCGCACTCTGAAGATCAATGTCGTGGATCTCTGTTATGGGATTGCAGGTAAGGCTGGGCAACCTTTAAAAAAGGGCCCTAATCAAGGAGGTTTATGTAGTGTGTAAACATCGTTACATTTTCAGAATATACTTTGGAAACTCGTGATGTCACAAAAACCTACAAAAACCTATGATATATGGTGCTGATGTGCCCTATTTGGTGACTTCCAACACTGCTCAGTTTCTGTGAGCATCATATTTGAGCACCACTCAGCATTTTGTAGCTTAAAATTTACCCAAAGAAAGGCAGTCAACCTAAAATCTTCAAAAAGGCAGACAAATGCTAGCAACTGTTTTCACCTCAGTAAATGTTACTAGCTTAGTCTCTTTTCACCTTGTCTTTTAGCTCAAAAACAATGTATAAAGAGTAAGTTAGCTGATAGCTAGGAAACATTAAATGAAAAAATCAATAAATGATGCTTTATTTCATTAGATATACATGAGTACAGTAGAAATGAACTTGAGCTTGATGTTTATTGCCGCTGTCATTGCAACTCATTCTATACCCTATAGCTGCACTTTGTACTAACTACGTCCTGTGAGTTAGCCTAGCCTACAGCAGATTAGCCCACACACCGCATTGAGCTTAATGGGAGTGTTTCATTCTGGGCTGCTTTTTGAATGACAATACAGGGCTGCCAATAAGAAGAGAAGCCATTAACATGTTTGAGTCTTAAAGGCACAGTAACAAAAACAGTCTTTTTAATTGTAAGAGATATAAGAAAGAAAATGGTCATGTAAAAAATGAACTATGACATTTTTGGTACATAAAACCACAAAAATTTTAGAATCATCCTCAAAAATACAGTACAGAAATAAAACATATGAAAAATGAATAAATGTAATAGTATTTGCAAATATATATAATTTAACAAAGAATAGGAGGAAAACTTAAACAATTTTTCACAGCAGCCATAAAATTCTGCTTGTTTTGGAGGTCCCTCAGTTGAACTAGGCATTTTTTTAAAATAACGTTGATGATATATAATTCAATGGAACTGTGAATGATTTAGAAAAGCGCCATCTTTGTGGAGAAGTGTCGATTGTTCTAACAGCAGGAGGTTCTTACTCCTCTCCTTTCAGCTCTCATTGTTCACAAGTCACATTTCACACACAGAGAGCAGAGCTGTGGGGAAAAAAATCAAATGTTTTATTAAATATTAAAAGTATTTCCATTATTGTGCAGTCATTTTCCATATGCCAGCAGAATGACCACTAGGGAGGCTGCAGAAAAAGGTTAATAAATTAATATAATGGCATAATGGCTTCACATCAGTAAGCTACTTGTTACTATGCAGGTACTATATTTTGGCTGTTGTTACTACAGAGTCTTTGTAATTGGTCTAAGTCTGTCTTTTTATAACACATGGTACTGATGATGCCCATTTATCACAATTCTAATAACATATCATGTATTACTCGCTGTTAATTGCAGGGGTGCTGGGTGGTTTTGCATCTGGGTACGTGTACCGGATAGGCCAAAGAGGAGTAGTCCTGCTTGGGATGGCCATTTCCCTCAGTGTAGTCGGGCTCCTGTACTCCACTTTTCTCCTGTCCAGCTCGGGGCAAAACAACGATGAGAAAGAGCTGCTGCTGTCCCGAGCAGGGAGAATGGAAAGAACAGACAAATCGTCAGTTGGTCTGCTGATGTTGGCCATGGTGCTGTTCATGCTGGGCATGATTGGAGCAGAGAACGTTCTGACACTCTATGTGCTGAAGCCTCCTCTGAGCTGGAACTCGGTATGGGCAGGATATGGCAGGGCAGCCACTGATGCCATGTACTTGACCAGCTTCTTGGGGGTCCTGGTGCTGTCTGGGGTCCTGGGGGACACAGCCCTTTCTCTGCTTGGGATTATCTCCAACTGCACCGGGATGGCTATCATGGCATTTACAGTGGAGAGCTGGGTCTACTTTATGGGTAAGTGAGGAGAGTTCATGTGTTGTATCTCCGAAACATAAACTTTAAGGCAGGGTTCAGTTCTGGTCCTGGAGAGCCGCTATTCTGGGGTGAGTGGAAAATTGCGTAAAATTTGATTTTTTGAAGAATGAAGGGGAAATTCTGGGTTTTTTTTTCTTTTCAATTCAATCATTAAGATGTAAATAAAGTAATTCAGAGTGGTTTGATGTGAAATGCTTTGTTCTAGAGAAACTTGCAGAGTCAGAATTGTTCACAGTGGTGGTGTCTGAAGCATTTAATGCTTCTAAAAGCTCCTTTACAGAAAGTTATTAAAATAACAGGTTATGAATGTGCTGCCTGATGCCTGAGACATTGTTTTAACATAGTTATGAGATGAGATTTTTGGGTTAACACATTTTTCACAACACAGTCAAACACATTATTTCACCCTGCATGAGAGATACAAAGAAAAAACTTTATTTTTTCAGGGTTACCACTACTTTACCATTATTACCATTACATATAAAACTGGTGGCATAACAAGGATATTATGGAGCCTAAATGTAAACATTACCTTAAATTAATTTTAAAAAAAAGATTTTTTGCTTGTTTACTCACTATTGATATGTCTCAACCAACTGATGTACAAATTTAGGCCAATGGCTGCAGTGTGCTATTATCATAGCTACTCGTCACTCTTAAAGATAAATGCTCTTAAATGGTTAGTGAGTTGAACCTACAGTTCTAGGGAAAAAAACACTATAATTGGTGTTACATTATGTTGTTCATCTCATTTACAAAGATGGACAGATCACTGAAAGGTTTTGTGTAACCAGCAGTGGTTCTTCTATGGCATTTGGGGGCCCTAAGCTGCAATCTGTTTGCAGGGCCCTACCCAGAAAATGAATGAATACTTCATTCATTTATAATCAAGAGAAAAACTGAATACATGCTTTGATCAAGGGAGTCAGGTTATGAATAGCTAAGGCCTATACAAGAGACCAGACTATATTAAATAGCACATATAAATAAATAAATAAGCTAAAATAAATAAAAACTACACACTCGTGGGACCTCCTGGTGGCTTGGAAGCCCTAAGCAACTGCTTATACCACTTATAGCAAGAAACGTCCCTGCATCACTCTAAAGCACCCTTTTTGGTTCAATTCAGCACCTGACTGAAGAATACAAAGGGCAACTCCACCAATTTTTCAAATTGTCTACATGATAAAATTGTTAAAATGTAAACAAAGACATTCTGACTGATTTGATGTGAAATGCTCCGTTCTAGAGAAACTTACTACGTCAGAATTGTACACAGTGATGGTGATAGGAACCAGACGTCTGAAGTGTCTGAAACTTGAACTTGAAAACTTGAAACTTGAAGTGCCTGAACGCCCCTGAAAGCTCCCTCAAAGAATATTTTACAAGAAATAGTTATGAATACACTGCTTGATGTCTGAGACATTGTTTTGATAGTTATGTGATAAAGTTTTGGCCTAAAACATCTTGTTAATCCATGTATTTGAATCCATTTATGGTGGAGGGATACATGCATAACGTTTTAAGGGAAAACAGTCCCCCCAAAAAAAAACGTCCATTGGTCCAATCATAATTGAATGTTCACACAATGTAAAGGGCACCTGGCATTTTCAAATGGTGTTGAAAATCAGTACAAATTAAAGAATAAAAAAGGAGATAAGGAGTTTTTTCAAGGAAGTGGTGCTATGCTCATTCGTTGCTCAGGCCCAGCTGAAATCCTTGCCAAATGATAAGCTTTAGTGACTGTACTATAATTAAGGGGATTTTTCCCATCCTCCGTAAAGGTCACAGCTCTGACAACCAACAGCATTTGCTCTTTCTCAACAACATTTCAGCTCTTATTAAATAAATGGAAACTGTGTTGCAATCAAAGCCAGTGCATTTTCAGTGCTTTTCTAACCTTTTGTATAAACATGTTTCTTAACCAACAGCTCGAGGAATAATGATGTTTGCCTGCGTTCCCATGCCGACGCTGCGAGCGATGCTTTCCAAGGTTCTGGATGCAGAGCAATACGGTAACTGAGGCATGAAACAAGAGGCAGGATAGTTATGACAAGTGGAAAAATCCCCACACAGTGACTAATTTAGATGAAATAACTTCCAGGATTGTGTAACATGCGAAGAGCTACAAATAATGGCAAGCATATTTCACATGATCCAAAAAGGCAATGATTATTACTGTTTATATATTATTGTATATTATTAAGCGCTTCATGGATGAAAAGCAAGGTATAACACAGTAGATATTAAATATTATACAAAGCTACATGCCTCCAGAAAGGTAATTTTACAAGAGAAGACAAAAACCTACTTAACTTTCAATGTAAGTTCATGGAAAGAATCATTTTTGAACCATTTCTATTTGTCGATTTGGCATGAAATTTGTACACAATGTAAAGGGCAGATCCTGTGCTCACATGATGTAGAAAAATAAAAACAAATGGACAGTGATGATATATAAAATACAAATAATACAAAAACAATATCTAAAGAAAGGCACAACTGAAAGAACTTTGGTAATTGCTTATGACAAATTTCTTGTGGGCAAGAATTTCCATTCCTCAGAATCAGAAAAGAAACACGAGACCTCCTCACCACTTCTGCTTTGTGTTTTCATTCTTGCTGCTTTCACATGAACCATAGTGTAGAGAGGACCATTAAGTCATGTAAGGGAAAGCTATAAAATTGTTCCATCAACAGATGAGAAGCAGAATCTGCAAGAATGTTGCGCTGTTTGTATTTTCAGGCCGTATATTTGGGCGGCTGCAGTTGGCGCTGACTGTGACTGAACTCCTTTCTACAGTGTTCTTCACCTCCATCTACCCGCTCACTCTGGACTCGTACAGCGGCCTCTGCTTCCTCCTGTCCTGCGCCATCAGCTACCTCAGCGTCATACCAATCCTGTAAGTGTCCCTCCCACCCACTTTTGATGGGAAAAGTTCTCTCAGCAGGGGCCTGAATCTGAGACTGCAGAGTAACTGATAAGGCTGCTTTCACCATCCAGTGGTAAAGCTGCGGTTACAGTGGTTTCAGTCTGGCACTGCTGCCAGAGAATAAACTGTGAGTCAACAACCTCAGATGAACTCTGGTGGATGACGGTCAATAATGCTGATGGGAAGCAGTAATAAAATTAGTTAAATGGTTGATGATAACAGTCATTGTAAAAACTGTGCTTGCTGTGTATTAACAGCAATCAAAAGCACAATATCCATGTAAATGAATGGAATCTACATGTGCTTAATTACTATGTATTTATAGCGTTAACACTAACTGCACAGACAAATACCTTTAAAGTCTACCTGAAATCAAAACTGACATGTCACATAATTATGTTATATAAAAGAGAAAATTCTTATTTCTTACACTCTTTAATCAAAATCAGACTTTTGTCCGCTTCTAAAATGTCTTGTGATTTTTGATTATGTCACTGTGCACCAGTGGGGAACAATTATATTAATCAATGATAGTTTCCCACTCACACCACCCCGCCTATCATCAAGAGAAACGTTCTGCTAGCCCTGATACCATGTTTCACTTGTAAATATGTCACATTAGGGAAAGAAAACTTCTTCAAGTGGCCTCTTGAACAGCTTCAACACACTTTAGCATAAATCCTACAGGTCTCTGGAACTGCACTGGAGGGATGGAACACCATTATCATGATGGTGGAGAACGCTGTATAACGCATTAGTCCGAAATCTCCCATAAGGTCTTCAGCTGAATGATTTGTTTTCATACTCATCAAACCATGCAGTAACCCCTTGTGTCCAAGTGGGGCACTGTCATCCCTGGAAAAGATTACTCCCATCAGGATAGAAATCTTCCATCATTAGATATATGTGATCAGTCAGAATAATTTTGTGTTTATCTGCAGGGGGCCCAAACCATTGGAGCCAGCGAAAAAAAGAGCCCCGGGCCCCCTTGCCGTTGGGGTCAAGTATTTAGGCCTGAACCATTTTCTTGGTGTATGCTGTACATGCACTCACCCACTTGTGGAGAATATGGTTAATGATGACTCATCTGCCTGGCTTAAGTTACAGAAGTTATAGAAGTTATAGAAGAAACTTTGGGCCCGCTGGTGAGCCCTGGCCATTGAAGGGGTTAAGTCACTGTTCCTATTGAAACTCTAGTCAAGCAGTCTTTGTGACTGAAGCTCCTGCCATCCGGGTCCCAACCATCTTTCAGTGTCTTGGATCTTTTCCAATTGACAACCCAAAATCGGGTCAAGTGAGCCTTATACATGCCACAGATCATGGTAGAATGTTAATTGCTTAACATCCTCACTCAAATTTTCACTCTTTTACAACCAAGCTAATTTACTCATGATCAAAATAAACCGCAGCACTTACACCACCCTACCACTATCAGATCAACTGTAATACACTAAGTCTCCTAATCTGGTCCTGTATAATTTACTAACAACTGCAATGTGCTTCATTTTCAGGTACTTGAAGTTCAGGCAGAGGAGGGAAGAGTATCCAGCCATATGAGAGTGCTTTATACTGCACAGGCCAAAGCGGATCTGACATTCTAGAAGCCGCCAACACCATAAATAGGGGTGTAAAAATGCATCCATGCACTGTGCTATACAATCTGAACTGCATCAATTTTGGAACGTTAGAATTGATTCAAATCAATTAGTATAATATTTGACAGAGTATACCCTCATTTTTTGGGTCAAAATAAAAGTCTCAAGCTCTTTTGAAACAAAAATGCAAAAAGTAAGGCACAGATTGTGTTTTTTATATTCCACTACTGTGTATTCAGTGTACTTTTAAAAATAATACAAAAAATGATTTGGGCAAAATATGTAATTGTCTTTTTTTTTGACCAATACTGTGATTCCAATTATTTTCTAGGTCCTGAATTGTTTTTTGGCCAGGAAGACCATCTACTTTTTCTGGCTTGAGACTTGAATGCTGAACGTAGTCAGTTGTAGTTGTGTTCTCATGTACATGGTGTTTGGTTGTACATGGGTATTTAGTTGCGTCTGATCTGGTAAAACTCATCTAGAGGTGGTTCACAAGCTTTGTGTTATTAAGGTAAATTTCCCCACTTAAAACTTTAGACAACGTGATTAATAATGTAGATTATAATGAAAATTGCAGAATTTCACTGTGCATAAAACTGTTTCCTAAATATTCAAATTCAATCAAGCAAGGTCAGAGATCTACACCCTATTAGTGCTGGACGATTTATCATCTATACTGTACACCATGGTACTGACACACTGGGATAATGCTTTGTGGTTTTAGTGATATTTTTAGCAATATATTTGATACATTTTTTTTATTTTACGCACTTTACTCATGGTACACAGGACCTGACAGGTAACCTGAGCATATCACTTGCTGGGTGCTTCAGACGCTTGGTGCGTGTGTTTCTGTCTGGTTAATGTTCCCTTTTGTATAATTTTAAGAGAAGAAAACGAAACAAAACTGACCATTCAAAACACGCTATATCATGTTTGTGGGGCAGCCTTTAAGCTTAGAGTCCCATAGTACTAAAGAGCCTGGGAAGCATGATTTTTCAAATATCATTATATTAACCCCAGTTACCCACAGCACTAAAATGCAGGTACTGAAACAAGAACATTAATGCAAAATGTATTCTTATAATAATAATAATAATTTTCTAATGCAAAATGCATCCTTTAATCAAAATACCCACACAAGAATGAAAAACTCTCAGTGCTTTACTCCACCTGCCTCCACGCCCTGATGGTTTGAATGTGCTTGCTCAGGACCTTTATCATCTTCTCCAGATACATCCTGCATAATGGCTCCCTGCTGTGCCACACTACAGACTTTGGGCCGGCTTTAGGCGTTGAGTAGAAGGCATCATAATCGCTCGGGAAGCCGCCACTGTGCTTGACTGCATACAACTTAAAATCCTGCAGGGGGCAGCAGGCAGGATTGTCAATCAAGGCATACATTCTCACAGCGTAGGGCTCAGAAAAGCTGCTGCTGCTGTCTATCCACTCTAGGTATTCCAGCCTGACCCCGTCGCCCAAGGCCGGCTGCGGCTCGTGACCCAGGCAGAACTCTCCAGAGAACAGGATTCTATCTGTCCTCAGGTGCCCCTTCCCAAGGGCCCGCAGGTTGTTGAGCAGCACCAAGTTCAGCAGGCCCTGCGGAGACTGGCGGCTGAGGACGCCTCTCTCCCTCAGCTCCTTTTCCTCGTCGTTGCCTGCCCAGCAGGATGTCCAGGTGACTCTCTAGCTCTTGCCACTGCAGCTCCCTCGTTCTGGCCTGCAGAGCTGTGTAGGCATTGATCAGCTCCTTTGACTTGTACAGGCTAAAAGCACAACCGTGGGCCCTGAGGTAACAGTCAATGCTACGCCCGAGGGCTGACAAGGAGGAGCTGCTCAGTTCTTGAGTCTTGAGCTGGTGGAAGTAGGACACTATAAGGTCATCCAGCTCCTTAGCAGAAAGGTCACTCACGGAAAGAGTAACTTCTGGTCTGTGACAGAAGAGCCAGTTTTTGAAGCCTGTGATGCCACTTCTCCTGGTTTTGTTTAACTCTTCTAAATGGGACAGTGATAGAAGATGTGATAGAGTTACTGATAATCATACAGTGTAAACAGTTCTGACCACACTATATGATTGGCAACAACCATGGTTGCTTTATATGCCACTTGTGGTGGAACTACTTTTTGGTAGAAGAAACTTAATTAAAAGCATATCTGAAACTGGGGCTTATATGCTTTACTTTTCACCTTACACTTGGAATAAAAGCAACACTTGCAGTTGTGTGCTGATTTGGCCGACATTATGCAAGTGTCACTGGCAGAAAAATAAGTCTCCCTGTACACTGCTGGGTAAAGCATTCTACTGTCCTATTATCTACAGCCCTTAGAGAGGTCCGAATCAATGTACGAAACTGTCCTCCTATAAGGTCAAACACCATAAGCAATGAATGTACTTTACAAAATGTAGTTTCACAAAGTTAGCCCAACAAAAATGACCTTCGCCCATATTGTCGCTGTCTGATCAGAACCTCAAAAAAGTAACAATGCATTAGAATGGAAAACTTTTCTTAACATTCATTCAACATTGTAAGTGAATGTAACAAGATTTTGATTTAGTATTTTTGATTGGGAAGCAATTCCTTTAGCTCTGGGGTGCCCTGACTTTTCATCAAAAGCATCCAAAGTTAGCAATGTTAGTGGTGGGCTGAAGGCCAAAAAGACAAAACAATATACAAATACAGGGTAGAGTTTTCAAACTAGGATTACCAAAAAATGCCAAAAAATGTATATCATCATACTACATACAAATACTGCTACATTATACATAGTATAAATATAGGCAAGTCACTGTCAAAACAAAACCTCTTTTCATTTCTTATTTTTTATATCTTGTGAAAAAGCCAGCTGTCATTTCAATTGTGTCAAAATGTAATGACAAATGGACCAATAGAAACTGTCTAAATCATGTTACATTCACTTACACTGAAAGTTTTACATTGAACACGATTCTATAATTTGCATTAGCTGTACAGCATCAAGAATGAAGTTACGATAAAATTATATCCAGAATACCTCATAAACATAAAGAATCTAAAAATAATTTCTGGCAATATTTAAACCTACACTCTAGATGTTACTGTTAATATATATATATATATATATATATATATATATACATACATATATATATATATATTTTACATTGAACAATTATTAATATGAAAATGTTTGACTGGTATTGTATGCAGGAACATTATGCTAACAGTATATGCAAAATGAGCGGAAGCCCTTTCAAATTAATAAATCATTCTCTAAAGCTCTAAAGGGAGAAAAAACAGTCACTTGTTTCTGAGTCTGCCTCTGTTTTAAGTATTTTTTGCAGTGCTTGTCCTTCAGCAGGAGAGGGCAGCAAAGCAGAAGAGTCCAAAGTGTTCTCATTAGAAACTGGCTCTGGACTGCTGCTTAGTAGTCTGTCATGAAATGATTGTGCACCACTCTTTGGAGAGCTCCACACCTCATTCACATCTAAAACACTATCAGTGTCTGAGTTCATGCCTTCTGCATAGCCAGAGAGCGAAGGATCTTCCTTAATGGAGGTGGCTGTGTTTCCCTCTAAACCTGGTCCTTCAGCTTCTGAACATTTGTGGTGTTCATTCTGGTGGTCTACGGAGGTGCCAGCTCTGACAGTCTCCAAACTGTGGTCAGATGGGACAGAGTCCGCTGTAGGCCAATCCTTGCCTGTTTTATCTGCTGTCACATTTGGGTCAGGGCTAGAGGTCAGAATATCCAGCTCAGGTAGGAAACGATTGATGCCAGATTTTGAAGCAAGCCCTTGCTTGCCAGAGACATGAGTAATCGGGCTACCAGGACTTTCATTTGAGTCGAAAAGCTTATTTCTCTTCTTCTGTTGAAAGTGCACATGACCTAGGCCTAAATCTTCCCCCTTTTGCTGCTTGAGAGTCCTCTTTCCCTTGCCCTTGTTCTTCTTATTGTGTGATTTGGGGAAATGCTGAAACAGCCACTTGTAGGCATGTCCGTTTTCACACTGCCAGCACACTATGCAGCTTTGGTCCACCTCTCCTTCTGAGACACTTCTCACATTTGGCAGGTGGGGACAGATGTCAGCGTGAGAGTGAACCCAAATGACCAAATTTGACGAAGTCTGCTAACATGACATCATTGGGTCCATCATAAAACACCTGCAAAAATATATATATATTTTAAAAGAATGTATTCAATATAGATTTAGTTATTTAGCTCTGTATCAACATAACTAAATACTAAGTCAATATAAATGAATAAATAAATACACTTAAATTGATAAATACACTTAGCTTAAATTATTTATTTCACTAGCTACGTAGTTAGCTACCCTATACCAAGCTAATTCTGAGTACAACATAAAATATGCATAAAATATGTGTTTAATTATGTATAAACATAACTAAGCAACAAATAAATGTAATATATATATATATATATATATATATATATATATATATATATATATAAACAAATTAAGCACATTTAAATACGTTAGCTTGAATTAGCTGTGGTTAGTTAATGCTTCATATTCCTCACTCTGTTATAACGTCGCTCCAGCTCACCAGCTCATTTGGAGTAAAGTTAACCGTTATAACTTGATGATGATTAATGTTTGTATTACCTCTGCCATTCTCCTGATGCACAATCTCGCACCAAACGGAATCTGGAAGATGGCTGCATTCACAGTTTTTGAAGGCCTTCAACAGAAGTTAGTTAGCATATCGTATAACAGCAGGTCAACCGGAGACACAGCTAGAAGCTAAGGACAGAGAAAGCTGACAGAACGCCGTTATAAACAACTCGTTTTAAAAGTAATTAGCCTCTCATAAACAAGTGTTTACTTACACAAAATACACGAACCATAGAATATTCTACGTCAATGGCAAAATTCTGAGTGTTCCATAGGAGATGCGTCAGTCTTACATGTTAGCCGGGTTTTTCTCTTTACAGTGTTTTGATGATTTTGGAGAAACTTCTTTTTTAATGAAACCGCATCGTTTGCAGTTCCCAAACTCTGCCACAGGATGTCGCTCTAAAGAAAACATTCGTAATTCTCACAATGAGCAACGTTGTGTCAGTATAGTTTTCTTAAAACAACCACCTTAATGAAATGAAAAAATAATTTTATTAATTAACTTATTTTATTAAAATAATTAGGGCTGCCACCTGATTTAGAAACTGCTCAGAAGGACTTTATTATTGAAAAGGAACGTTTGGCCTTAGTTATTTTTGTGTTTACCTTCTATAAAAACAATGGCAATAACACTAATAGTAATACTACTACTCTTACTACCAGAGATGAGAATAAGCAGTTCTATTTATTCAGGTACATGCTCAAGCAAAATTGACCTTTCTGAGTATTTTCAAGTCATAATGCTTTTACCTCTACTCTAGTTTATTTCTGAGGAAAGGAATCTACTCTTTACTCATTATATGTATTACATTTTAGTAATACTTTTTAGTAAATGTTTAAACTTTAGTTCCTAATCTATTTTGCGCTTCATTTAATCTCACATCTTTCTTTTTAGATGAAGAGTGCACAAAAAAAGAAGAATAGCACCTAACAAAAAAACTAAAACAAACAAACAAACAAATAAACAAACGAAAACAGTTCTACTAGAAACTTGGTACATAAGTACTTTTTTTGATCTGTATTCAGGTTGTGATAAGGTACTTTTACTTTTACTTAAATCATTATTTAATTGAAGTAACACCACTTTTAATGAGTTTAGGCTACTTTACACACCTGGTTCCTTCTACCACTATCACTACTAAAGATAATAATAGTAATAGATCATTATTAGAGGAAAAACTCTCTGTCTTTCATGATCTGTTATTTGGGTTCCTGCCTGATGAGGCCTTCAGTCCTTGGCTGCCTTGGAGACAATGAGTCTCAGTTTCTCTAGCGGCCTCTCAATCCATTATTTATCTTTAAGCAGGTGTGTAACCTGCACCCACATGGAAAAGCAATTTCCTGAGTGTGAGACGTGCAATTATTGATGACGATACCTGACTCCGAAAGTCTTACTCTACAGTCCTTATTCGAGAGGTGTAAATAAGAGAGAAAGAGTGCAGCATTCTTGTAAAGACAAATGGCACATGTTACAGTAACAGTAGAAGTAAAAACATTTTACCATACTAATCCACTAGGACTTAATTAATCCTTGCTTTAGTTGTTGCTGTTATTAATTCAGACTTATTATGACGGACCACCTTTCTCATGAGTCTGTCTCATTTCAGGAGCTTCCAGAGATCTCAAGGACTGAATGGAACTAACAAAGCAGTTAGATAAGAGTTTGATCAGCAGACTGTGTCAGCACTGAGGGGGGCTGTTAAGACCAAAGGGGAGCTTATCAATCTATTGTCCAGGCATTTATCTGTCCTCCTGAAAATGACCTGCACCCGCTTAACCAGACACAGCTTACAAAACAGATCAGCTCTCATCCCATAACGTATGTTGTGTTGTCAGATACAGACTTACACATCAAATATTAATATGTCCAGGTAAGCAGCAGCAGTGGTCTAGGCAGCACCGTTTAGGCCACATTAACCATCTGTTGTTTGAACATGCTGAGATATAGCTGACTCTGGGTCTGTTCGCTGTCTGCAGGGGTATATAGCGTGTATTCTGTGAAACCATGGATGTATTGAATGCTACAGAATTAAATTAGCTACAGAATGCTTAAAAACAAAGAAGGTTTCTATTAGATATGACTGTGAAGAATTTCAGTCTTGCTGGTCTTAACTGAATTGTTTAGTCAGGGCCTTTTCTTGTTTATAAGCAGTTACTTAGGCCCCCGAGCCACAAGGGTCCCCACAAGTATGTAGGTATGTATGTAAGTGTGTATGTATGTATTATTACTATTATTATTATTATTATCAGTAGTGGTAGTAGCAGTGGTAGTAATACTAGTATTATCATTTATTGTTTGTGTCAGCATGTCACCCTAATTTTTCATTTCTTTCAGTTTATTTATTTATTTTTTTCTAATTAAAACTAAAGAAGTACTCATTATTTTGGACTGGGTGGGTGGTGGGCCCCCTAGTCCCTTGGGGCCTCCAAATATTCAGAAAAAGCTATTCAGAAAAAGCTATTTGTTTGGGGGTAGCAGTGAGAAGACTGGACTTATGGTTTTGCCAGATGTCTGGCAACATATAGCAGGATAAAAACAACGTTCATCAAAAAAGAGTTACTCCCCACAAGAAATGAATATTGCGTATACGTGAACAAAGCGTTATTTTTTAATGGATCGGTTGAACTGACTCAGTCCAACTGAATCGAATCTTCCGTTCGTGTTAAAGAAAAGTTAAAATTAGAACAGTAATCTTTCATAATGCAAGCACACTGTAACTTAAAATACCACACTGTAACATGGTAGAAACAACGTCTTTTCTCCATTTTTTCTATTAAGTCTGTAGCTGTTTTTTTCCCTCTGTTACGTGTCCATTTCAGCCCTGCGCTTAAAGAGACGACGCTAACTCAGCTAATGTGTAAAAAAGTAAACATCAGACTCATTCTCATATGTGTAACAGATGAAAAATATATTTATTTGACTGTAACCCCGAAACAAAAATGAATCGCTGAATCAGACGCCGAAAGAATCGTTTCGGTGCACGGAATCGAGCTCATCAGCCTTAGGAAATGATTCATCCAGAAGCTGTGGCCGCTCTTCGCTTTCATGTGTAATCTTATCCAATCAGAGCGGTGCTCGTGTCCCCCCGTTTTCGCGACGTCCAATCAGCGGAGACTGCCGTGTCCGCCTCAGTACGCTCCGCCATTTTGTCTGGCTATAAGAAAACTCAGCCAAGCAGCAAAGTTCCTGATTAGAGCCGAAGTTCCTCTTTGTGCAATGGACGGGTAAGTTCAGTGATGTTGTTTCCCCAATCAGAAATACGTTTTCCGTGTTTATTATATCTGCTTTTATAGCTTTACGTTTTTCTTTTCTGAATAGATAATATATAAAACATTTTGTGTTTGTGAATTTGTTAATTAACGTGTGTGCGGCGCCGTTAGCGTGCACGCGCACTCTTGGGTTGCGATGGAAACAAACCGATAACGTTAGTTTTCCACGCTGCAGTTGTCTTTGAGCGTTTAGCTAGCATTAGCTTTATCATTTCTCATAACTTTAATAATTAGTAGAGTGGTGGTCTTGTTCACCAACACTGCTGCATGCTTCGTTCGCGCTGTTTTAGGTCTGTTACCCCCCGAGAAACCAACTTTTCTGCGCTGGCTGCAGCGCTAGCCTAGCTGTTAGCTGGTTTGTTAGACCCCGCTCAGCTCCTCTGACTACTTGTTGCATCGCAGTAACCTTTTCCAAAACAATCGAGGCTTGGAATTTTCTTCCTGAGGCATACGGGATTCATCAAATTAATCGCGAACGTATTAAGCTCCTAGCAATAACGTTTACCTTAGTTTGTTTTTTTGTTATGGCATTGACATCTTTTTCTCTATGCAGCCGCCTAGAGACTGAATTGTATCCTATGGGATCGAATTACGCAGAATTAGAGTAAGTCCTCATGTTTTTACAGCTTTTAGACCAATGTGTTCTCTTAGTTCAGTCATGTTAGTTTTTTTATTTTTGAAATAACCTGTTTTAAAGTGTCCTTTGTTAGCCCAACCACAACTGGAATGTTCTTATTGTCCAGGTTGCTGCAACATACAGTTAACGTTACACAAGCAGAGCCAAATGCATTTTACGTACTGTTTCAATTACCAAACCACTGCCAGGGCATTTTTGAGGTGGTCATTTGGTCCAAACTTTGAAGTACTGTGTGAGGTTAGGTATTCGTGCATCAGCTTTGAGTATTACATCTAAACTACACGTTACCCCAAACTAACTTTTTTTAGTTAGGTTAGTATTTGTTTTTTGCACTTATCTGGAAAACCATTTCATTAGATTGTATACTTAATTCATCACAGCTTTCTGTAATCCCTCACCTTTTGCAAGATTGAAACATTTGTGCTGTTCTTTTTTCGGATTGAACAAAATTATTAAGTTGGCTGACTCAGTTCTGCAAAAGGAGCTCATCGGCCATAATGCTTCCTGTAAGGAGATCATGAGAAACAGGATATGGGGGTTAATCTTCAACCAGTGCCTGGCCCCAAATGCCAGTCATATTTCTTGCTTTAAGGGAGATCTGTGGGAAAGAAAAACGGGATGCAGTTTAGACTACGTAATGCACTCTGATTATCTGTAGTGGGAAAATGTTAACAGAACTATTTCAGTTCTCTGAGCTGTTTATAGGACCCTTTAGTTAAAGTGAGTTTCACGTTGGCCCAGTATTCTTGCTAGGTTTTAAGGCATGTTTCCCTCTTATAATGTAGTGATGGTAGCATAAATACTGTAACATCTCAAGGTTTTGGCAGCTGTATATTAAATGTTTATAGAGTATTATTCACGAATCCCTTAACCATTACACTTAATAAAGACAGAGTCCTGGTGTTTGTTTCACAAGTTTGTTTTGAGCTGTTGCTTATCAGGTTTTATTTAAATGCTTTTGGTTTCCTTTTTCATTTCAGTAGAAGAGTTTGCTACATTTGTGTTATTCCATGTTACTGTTTAATTCCTGTTCATCTAATACTGTCTTTGTTCTTCACAGTGTGGTCCATGACATTGCAGTTGGTACGAAGGTAAGCACTGCTTTTCTTCAGACGTAATTTTTAACCATTGAAAATGTCGGGTCCTAGTGACTGGCTGTAAGGCTTGTTGCTTCACGCTTGATCTGTTCCCCTGTGCTCACTTTCAGTAACATTTGCTCACTTGCATTTCTGTTGCTGAGGTGTATTATGCAGTCCTCACCACTCCCATTAAACCAACCTGACTTGTTTCATTATGAATAATGTCTTGGTGGAGTTGCACAGGATTAGCCAGTTCAACACCTTTAACAGGCAGAATTACACAACCCCATTTTTTACAGCCTCTGCTGCTAAATAAAGTAGTTTAAAATTTTAAATATAAATAGTCTGGTTATATGGTGTAATGGACAAGAAAAGATGCTGTATTTTTATTTATTTATTTTTTCCCTTTTATTTACACAAGGCCAGTCTGAATGATTCTACACAGTTTTTAGTAGTAATACCTCTACTGAACACATTTAGCAAAGAACTCTTTCTTGAATCAACCTTCAAAGGTTACTATGACATGTGCATTCCTCTTCAGTCTTTCACTAAAGATAATCATCTGTGGTATGTGGGTAGTAAGGGGGGGACCTACAAGTTTCAGAACAAAGGAGCAATTCACAGGCACCGTTTATATGACTGGCTTAGCCTATATGTTTTAGGGGCACAACGTGACATAAAATGGCTTGAAAACTTACTGTTTGTTCTAGGTTGTTGTATGCAGGGAAGAATGTAACTCTGTAGTTTAGTCTACATGAGAGAGAAGATATTTCCTTGTATTCTTAGAGGGAGAGTTCAAGCTTTTGATGTCTCTCTGCACGCAAGGGCATGTGATAATTTCTGAGAATGTTTTGTGGAACAGTGTCAAGGCTTTTTAAGGTTACTGAGTTGGTAATGCTTTGATTAACATGTTTACTGTTCACTAAATTAGGATGGCTCATTTTGCATGAAAGTGAGATGCATGAAAAGTTGTAGATTGTGGACGATTAATGGCTATTAAAAGAAATTTCATGGTATTTTTTTCTTTTACATCTGCTTTCATATTCTGGCTGTTTTCTGTGATCTTTGTTCATTTTCACCTGTATTCTCAAGCCTACCTCAGGCTAGCATTATGCCAGTTGATTGTTTGCCCTAGCTCTGTGAGTGGACCCATTTTAAAAGCATTCCTCAAAAATGGGCTTGGGTGTTGACACGATGACATGAATGGAGCCTATTCATCACATGCAAATATGTTTGCCTCTCCCCTCTATATACCCATGTTGCTCTTGTTTGTTCAGCAGTGCTGATTAGAGAGAAGGTGATTGGGGGAAGTGCTAATGGCTCCGACTGAGGCTTGCTTACTACTCTCTGCCTTTTGTTGCACCTAATTTTGTTGTAAATCAGATGTTCAGCATGTTGTGCACAAGGCGCAAATCCTGTTTTCTTGAAATGTTGAGTTGAGAGCCAGACATTCGTGTCATAACCTCTGAGGTTGGGGTTGTAAATCTTCAACTAGCTTGAACAGTGGGAGAAATGTACACCTGGCCCTAGAAAGACAATCAGCCTTGTGTATTCAGGCCAGAGAGTCCTGGGTTGGGTTTCATTCACCTGCAGCCACAGGCACGTCTCCATGGTGAGCGAATGACAATCAGGGCTGCTGTGGTAACAGCCCCATTCTTGGCGTGAATTGTTGGCATCTCTTGCCCTCCTCCCTTTCTCCACACCTTTCTAATCCCTTCAACCTGGTTTCAGTTCACTCTCCAGTCCCCACCCGAAAACAGTTGCAAATTCTTCTGGTCTATGTTCCTTTGTTCTCTCAAACGTTGAATTAACTCTGTAACTATGTTAGTTTACATGTGCTAAATTCAATTGGCTTTGAGAAAACAATGTTACTCTGTACGATTTTGACTTAAGGAAGCCGTTTCTGTAGTTCTTACGAGCAGTGCTCACTTGAAGCGTTTTAAAGTTGCCAAGACCAAAGTCGGCAGTAGGTTTATGGCTAAACCCAGCATGAAGTGGTGAAACAGCGGTGTTCAACATGCATACAGCCCAGCCTTCCCTTACCCCATCAGACCTTAGTGGCACCCCCCTCCCCCAGCTCTGCATATGGTTTTAATTAGGTCCTGTGGCAGTGGAATTTTAAATGTGTGGTGGAGGATGCGTGCATGTGGCCTGCTTGGCTCCAATAGGCGGCTGTATTGAGTGATTTTAATTCCTTTGGTCACATGGTATGACTTGACAATGCCTGTGAAGTATTTCAGGATGGTGGTTCTTCCCCCTTGTTATTGACCGTACCATAAAGACGTTTAGTTGTTTGCTCTAAAAATGCACTATGGGGTTGTGCTGTGTGGTGTTGCCCACCCCCCACCCTTGTCTTCGAAATAACTCGTCACTTTTTGCTCAGTATCTTGACTGACAACCCAGTAAAAACTGAATGTGAAGATGTATTTATTAACTCTATCACGGTGTAAGCCAAATTGTACTCCTTCATTTTTAGCTTTTGTAGCTTTATTTTCATCTGTCACATAAATCAAGTTGTACTGCAGTTGTACAGGGTCTTTCCCTTGAGAGAGAATCAAGCAAATGTCACTCTGCCCACTCATTCCTCTTGCCTGATGACCCAGAAACTCCAATACCCCCCCACCCCCACCCGCCTTTAAAACGAGAGTTCCTTCCTTGTTCCCTTGCTGGTGGGGTTGGAGAATGTTTAGGGCTGTTGGTTGATCTGTGACCCCGCCCTTTGCACAGGAAAACTGGCTGTTGTCACAATGCCCACTTCCTGTACTTTTGGCTTACAAAGTGTAAAGTATAGCCCAAGGGTGTCCTTATTTGGTAAGCTGGCTGCCTCTTGTAGGATTGCGGCTGCTCAGCAGCTTCCTGAAGCTAAATGTTTCACCATGTCCGTTCTTGTTCCTGTAGCATCGACTTGTCTCTTGATGCTCTGTTTAGTGTCTGCTCCTGTTTCAGTCAGATGTTACAATAGAGTGGAAGTTGGGCAGGAGGGAAGGGGGGCAGTGAAGTTGTGGGCTGTCTGTCAATAAAGCCTGATGCCAAATCTACTGAGTTGCAGTTGCTTTCATTTATGTCTTCATTTGTTTGTTTCTAACAGAGAGGATCTGACGAGCTTTTCTCCTGTGTATCCAACGGGCCATATATCATGAGTTCAGCAGGTATATTCGTCTAATAGATACTTAATATCACTGAGTTTTCATGTCTGTGTACCTGTGTGTAGCAAATTGACCCCATGATGTGTTCTTTATTGCAGCTAATGGCAATGACAGTAAGAAGTTTAAAGGTGACATCAGAAGTCCTGGTATTCCATCTCGTGTGATACATGTACGTAAGCTCCCAAGTGACATCAATGAGGCTGAGGTCATCTCTCTAGGCCTTCCCTTTGGCAAAGTCACCAACCTGCTCATGCTGAAAGGAAAGAACCAGGTATTGTTACCATACCTCCCAAAGAAATTACAGTGGGCTTAGCATGAGAGAGAATACTGAGGGAGAAAAAACCTGAAAGAGCTGCATGTATGATTAAAAAAAAAAGTTAATCATTTAATGCTTTTATATGTGAATCATTAATCCACGTGACGTTCTGTCTGGCCTGGCTTTCATAACGTATTTGTCAAAAAGGCAACTATAGCAATGATGGGTGTGGGTTTGGGTTTTTGTTTTTGTTTTGGGGCAGTGACCGGCCATGTTGGCTTACATAAATATTTGCTTACAAAAAGTTCAGCTTGTGTCCTCAGAAGACCCGAAGGAATATTTGTCTTTAATCTTGCAAGTAGCTCCTTTTAATTCTTTTAGTCCCCAGTGTGGCTTAGAAATAAGTTTAGAAATGCTCCCAATACTGCAAACTTGGTATAGAATGAAACAAAGACTGTAATCTTGGTGCAGTATGAGCTAATCCTTTTTTTGTTTGCTTAGGCTTTCCTTGAGATGAACACAGAAGAAGCAGCCCAGACTATGGTCAGCTACTACTCCTCAGTCACACCAGTCATCAGGAATCATCCCATTTTTATGCAGTATTCCAACCACAAAGAGCTGAAAACAGACAATTCACCAAACCAAGTGGTATGTGCCTAGTGAGACTTTTCAGCTTTCCCACTTGCTTTTCCCCACCCCCCCTTTCTTGCACTCTATTTTAATGCTCATTATTTTAACTCATACAGCATAAAACTGATTTAACATCCTCTTAATTGTATTACTCTATGTTTTTGCATTTTTGGTTTATATTTGTGATCTGGCACAATTTGCATTTTTGACAAATGTTTTGTAGAATGAGTCACTGGTATGGGTTGATGCTAGCAGATATCATTCTAAAACCTGTGTCCCTCAAGATTGTTTGTCATCCGTTTTGTAGTGCAGCTGTAGCCGTGATTGCTGTTCCTCCAGCTGCCGTGGAATGTTAATATGAGCTGAAGGGCTTGTTTACTGCTTTGCGTGTATCTTGCGGTTTTCTGTACTGCGCTGCCCAAAAGCCTGCCCTCCCTTTTTAAACACAGTCTCTGTGGAGATCTCATGCTGCTTGCAACCCATGCATTCCACAGCTGAGGCCTATCTACCTACTCATTCCAGTGATGGAGTTGCTTAGTTTGTTCATCTGACTGGCTGTGTAATCTGTTTGAATAAACACTCAAGAAACTGTTTCATTCCAAAGGAAATTACATCACGACACTTGATGTGTATGTCCTTCACTCTTAATAACATTTCCTTGTCAACAGCATTAAAAGCAACTCTGTTTCTCAGTAAATGAGTCTACTGGATTCCATGTTTTATTTGTGTATATGTAAGCATCAGAAAGGGTGTATTTGGCTGTTCATACCACCTCTGTGCTCTTCAGAATAGGAAGTATATGTAAGCTTTATTATTTCTATGAATTGAACACTTCCTTCTTTCCTTCCTTGTCCTACTTCATTATGGCAGAGAGCACAGGCAGCACTGCAGGCTGTGAATGCAGTCCAGACAGGCAGCATGTCTATTGCTGGGGTGGACCCCTCTGGTGTGACTGGCCCCAGCCCTGTGCTCAGGGTCATTGTGGAAAACCTTTTCTATCCGGTCACCCTTGATGTCCTGCACCAGGTAAGCTCCCTATTTGGTTTCCTCTCCTGTCAGCTGCATCCTTGGCTTTCATTCTGTTTGTTGTGGTTGGATCTGGATTCTCTGTACATGTATTTTTATATTTCTATTAAGCCCTATTTATGATATGTCTTCAACAGATCTTTTCTAAGTTTGGCACAGTGTTGAAGGTAATTACATTTACAAAGAACAACCAATTCCAAGCTCTTCTACAGTTTGCTGATGGTCTTACGGCTCAACATGCAAAGCTGGTAAGTGGCACCATCTAGAGGTTACTTTGATTTAGTCTTTGCATAATTTGTCAAAGGTCTGTGGAGGGTTATGAACAGACCGGAGTTTGCAGTCCTGGCCCAAACTGTGCATTATTTGAAAAACAGAACCTTGCTATGTTTCCAAGTTAATTCAGCCATTCCGCCTTTCTGACAATTACTGAATTTGATTAATGGGAAAAAAATCTGGCAATGTTTGGTTATGATTGTTACATCCTCCTTATAATATAGTAATATGCATATAATTTGTTCAAGACTTTAGATTTACAGAGATTTGTATGTATTTTTTCCAAGTAACAGTGATGCCAGGTACAGGGATAGACAATTTTATGGAAGTGCAAGCTGAAGTGTCTATTTTAATAATGGGCTTCTCTTTGTAATAGTAGCGGCTGTTCTTTTTGAAGTGCTATTGTATAAGCTTGAAAGAATTTGTATTGTGAAACTGGTGTGTCCAGCAATTGCACATCTTAACAGAGCAAACCCCTCATTTTGGGGAGTTCTTTCTTTCTTTCTTTTTCTTTTTTACTTTCTTGCTTTGTAGGTTCTGTATTTTGATTATTTTTAAAACAAGTACAATTTAGTCATACATACAGAATTAAGTGTGTATTACATTGTAAGACTGACAGTGTAATACACACTTAATTACATTGTCACAGTCTAATAATGCATTACAGTGTGGCTTGTTTCAAAAAAGTGTGCACACTCATCTGTTTACATTTCTCTAATTTGATATTGTCTGTACTTAGGCCCTGGATGGACAGAACATCTACAACGCCTGCTGTACTCTGCGCATCAGCTTTTCCAAGCTGACTAGTTTGAATGTCAAGTACAATAATGACAAGAGCCGGGACTACACACGACCTGATCTGCCCACAGGGGACAGCCAGCCTGCTATTGAACACCATGCGATGGCAGCTGCAGCTTTCGGTAAGGCATAACCAACACTTGGGCCATGCACCATTTTCGTTCCCCTTTACTAAGCAATAGTTTCAGCCTGTTTCTGTATCAGTGTGTTAAATGGTGTGTGTGTGTCTTCCCCCCCCCCTTTGCGCATCTGAAGCTACTCCTGGAATCATTTCTGCTGCCCCATATGCTGGCGCCCATGCCTTCCCTCCAGCTTTTGCTATTCAGCAGGCTGCAGGTTTGTACAAATCTTCCTCTATGCACTTTTTTTTTTCTTTGATTTCAATGTAAAGTAATTGCACTGAGCATAACATGGTGGTGTTTCTGTCTCAGGATTGGCTGTGCCTGGTGTTCCTGGAGCCCTGGCTTCTCTGGCTATCCCTGGGGCCGCAGCAGCTGCAGCAGCAGCAGGCAGACTGGGCTTCCCCACCCTCTCTGGTGGACACTGTGTCATGCTAGTCAGCAATCTGAACCCTGAGGTTAGCATTATGTAGCTTTACTGTATGCATGTGAATCAAGTAGTTGTAGGACAAAGTTAGAATGCAGCTCGGGCTTAAATATTCCTGGTTTTAAACATACATTATCTTGGAATGTGGTCTGCTCAAGCTTGTCTTGTTCCTCTATTGGGAATACATTTTGAATATTTTGTCTCATCCTTGAATCATTTAGGGTAATGAAGGCTATTTTTAATGATTAACTTGGTTGATGTCTTGCACTGAGTTCAACCACGTAAAGCATGATGTAAATAAATTTAATTATTCTATTTACAGAGGAGAGGGGTGATGTGGATACATACATCCTTTATCCAAATTAGCACTTTGAATTTCAGTTAACAAGCTCTGCTTTTTTCTCCCAGATTTTCATCCCTTCTTTTTGCTTAGCTTTAGTTTTGTAATCTCTTTTCCTAACATTCTCAAGTTAATTTAAGCTTCTTATGTATTTTTCAGCTGACCCCTTTTTAAATGAATATTCGTGTCCATTTACACAAGTTCATTGTCACAATATTACTGTATCTGAAAACAGCATCAACATGCTTTTCCAACAAACAGAAGCAGCTGGTTGGTAATGCCCAGGATTAGGAGCTGGATTTCATTTGCATCACAGAGATGCTTTCTTAGGTCTGTTTTCTCTGGTGTGTGGTGCAGTAGATCAGTAGTCGTGAAGTTTACACATGTATAACATTGGATACAATGAACTTGTAAATGGTTTGACTGTTCTTTTAAAAAGACTCCAGCAGTTAGGCATATCTTTGGTTATCATGAGGATTTGATTGCTTTTTTCTTTGTTTTCAAGAAAAAACAGCACTTTCTTCTGTTGGATAATTTTCTTTGAAAGTTAACTTGACCACTATTGTATTTCCATATGTATACTGACCTTGTTTTTTACCTCCTTTTTTTCTCTCCCACCCCCATTCCCCTTATCCCATTCTTTTATTTTTTGTTTTAAAACCTTGTCGTCCTGCTGCACGCACATATCAACCTGATTTTTACATTGTCAAACTGACACATGCATATACACACACATAAAAACACACATTCAACACAATATATACCTTACACATCCATGTCTACCCCTCCCCTCCTTTTTCTGCTCCCAATCCATTAACCATCTTCATGATCCAACCACCGTTTTTCGCCATTTCCCGTGGAACTGCCTCCTCGCTGTGGATATGTTGAACCTCCATTCTGCCTCCGATCTTTACCTGTCCCCTCTTCCCTCCGCTGCCTTCCTCTGCTGTCCTCTAAAGAGAGTTACGCCCCAATGCCTCTTTATTCTTTTCGGTATGTTATCCTTAGCATCTTTTGTTATCACTTGTTTGTTCTGTTCTCTTCCAATTTCTTCCCTCACAAGGCAGTTTGACAAACATGAGTGCTTCTTTGGTTTCTGCTGTTTTTGTGTGTTGAGAGAAATTCCAAAAAGCTGCAGCACTCAACAACACTTGCTTAAGGGGCTGTTAGAATATTCTGAACCTTCAAAACTGAATGAGATGCTGTATCTTTTTGTGCCTTAATGGAGAGCATTAACTATTTAAGATGCATGCTTTTGAAATTTTGTTTCTGTTTTTGCATGTCTTTTGAGGGAAGCTTTTAAACTTTGGTTAATAGTCAAGACTCCTATCATTTATTGGTTTTGTAGAAACAGCCTTATTTTTCACCCAACCTTTTGCCCTCAAGCTAGCCTTTTTACAGCCGAGTCTCACTTTCTCAAGTCCATTTGTTCATACATTAAGGAGGGAAACACAGACATCCATTCCTCTTCCACAATCTGTGAAAGTGCCAGTGTTCCCTTCCTCTGTCCTCTTGAAACGTTTTCGTCTTGCCAAGTATCTTAAAATGCTGTCTTTGACACTAGAATTACTTTCTTAGACCTGTACATAGGTAATGGGAACCAAGTGCATGACCACTTATATAGTTCACATAGGCTAGCTAAGCTCTGTTGAAGGTTCTAATTTCAGTGGCACTTTATGTAAAGATGATGATGCCCTCAGTTAATGGAATGTCTTGATTGTGACCTGAAGTTTGTTGTAGGGATTGTTATGGTTTTCAAGGATGTTGTGCATTTTTGACCTGACTCACTGGCTCTTCGTCTCTGTCTAGGTGTATATGGTGATGTGATTAGGGTGAAAATTATGTTCAACAAAAAGGAGAATGCTCTGATTCAGATGTCTGATGGCACTCAGGCTCAGCTGGGTATCTAAACTTTTCAAAACTTGATGCATTTTATTAACAGAATGAGCTACTCTTTCTGACTTTGTAACGAATACAATTAATTTTTCTATTAATGATTGTGAGCAAATTTTTATTTACACATTGTTTTAATTTGTTCTTTCTTAGCCATGAGCCATTTGAATGGCCAGAAGTTGTATGGAAGGGCGCTGCGCATCACATTATCCAAACACACGACTGTTCAGCTGCCTCGTGAGGGACATGAGGACCAGGGGCTTACTAAGGATTATAGTAACTCTCCCCTCCATCGCTTTAAAAAACCTGGCTCCAAGAACTACTCCAACATCTTCCCTCCCTCATCGACCCTGCATCTTTCCAATATCCCGTAAGGAAAAAACTGTGTGCTGGGTTTTCCTTCTTTCTCCCCTAAATGGAAAAGACCTGTATGCTAACTTAATGTATTGTGATTTTTGTCTTTTAATAGTCCTTCGGTCGTTGAAGACGATCTCAAGATGCTATTTTCCAGTTCTGGTGCCATGGTCAAGAACTTCAAGTTCTTTCAGTAAGTTCTTGTAGACAGTATGTCAACATACATGGTCAGTTCTTTGTTTTATTTGTCCCCCTTCTGTCATATATTTAATGCTAATATATTGTTAACTTTCAGGAAAGACCGCAAGATGGCCCTGATTCAGATGGGTTCAGTGGAAGAAGCAATCGAATCACTTATTGAATTCCACAACCATGATCTTGGCGAGAACCACCATCTTAGGGTGTCCTTCTCCAAATCCACCTTTTAGGAGGGAGTAAGAGAGAAGGTGTGGGGGGAATAAAAAAAGACTGATTAAGGCTGGAATAACCAGTCACAAACAAACATGTTGAGATGACTTAAGTTTCAAGGAAGCCTCAACCACAAAACACACTTCCAGCATTCCTCTGTTGTATTTATGAAGTATATTTAGTGGTTCATATGTAAACTTTTTAAGATATTTTTTTAAGTGTCTGTGAGGACTATCACTTATCCATAATTGCCGATCTTGATAAGCCTTTGAGCCTTAAATTTTTCACAACAAAATTTGTTCCAATTTGCATGGGTGAACACTTGCCACTCAGAGGCTTTTGTCCCTTGAAAGTACTGCTCTGCCTTTCCAGGGGTACTTTTTGTGCCTTACTGTTTTTTAATCTTACTGCTCTTTGAGACCATAAGTAATGACGTTTGATTTACGACGTGGAGTCCAGTGTTTGTTAAACTTAGTTTACAATCCAGTTGTGTACATGTCCTTTTGTGTACATGTAGTTTAAGGTTACAGTCTTTCCTGCAGCCACAGGGCATTATTGGGAAGTCATTTTTACTTGCCTGATAATACAGGCACTCAATCAGCCCCGTTCTCTTTCCACATTCAACAGCATTTAAATTTATTCACATATACTGTATCTATAGACATAGAATGTTTACATCCTTTTTTTTTATTTTTTTTTTATTTAAAGCAATCATTTGTGTGCAAATCTTATATTGTAAGTATATTTGTTTTTGATACTGTTGGCCATTGCATGTTGGCTGCTGGCCAGTAGAACCCATACTACTACTGTGTCTATGCTCTTTTTCTGTACCTCGTATAGATCTTAAGTATTGCCTTCATGTATCATGTGATATTCTGTGTTTTATAACTATTCTATTGTAATGCCCAATATATTCTATGTACTCTAGTAGCTTTTTATATGTACACTACAGCTTGAAACCAAAGGCTCTGTTAAGCTTACATTCATAACATGTATTCCTCCCTCTTGTACTTTTGAAATGACCAACTTAAAATTCTAAAACAAAACAGTGGCTTATGTGGGTGGGAACCTCCCTCAAATTACTGTTTATACTTCTACCAGTAAGCTTGGTGTCCGTTCTCAGTACAGTAGATTATATTCAGATTTGTTTTTGAGTTTGAGCTATTTCCATTTCTGAGATTGGGCTAAGTAGTGCACATTCCTAGCTGACTTCCAGCAATCCTTCATGTTTAACTTGTCACATGAAGAAATCCTATGTAGATACAGATTCATTCCTTTTTTTTTAAATCAAAAAACTAATTTTCTCTTGGATACATACAGTAGCATATAAATGTTTTCTTTTTTTATGCATATCTTTTATCAAGGTAGCAGGTTTTTGCCTGTGCATGGGACCAATGTGGTGAAATTCCTCAAAGAAGGAATTCCAGACCAAAAATCTCTGGAATTTGATCTTTTTTTTTGTCAAGAGCAAAATTGCGAGTGCTGTGCTGTTGAAAAACGTTATGTACAGATTTTTGGAAAATGGCAGGATTTAATCTTATTATGCACCCTTGCACAGCATTTGAACAACCTCAGTACACATCATCTGCCTTTAATGATTTAATGCTTTCTTTTCCTTAAAGTGGATAGATCAGGTGTAAATATTATTTTTGTACCACAATAATAAAAAGCAATAGGTTTTTATATCTGAAAGCAGATGTATATTTTGATTACAGCTGTGGACCATGAGCATGCAAAAAAAAAAGTTGGATTTATAAATAAGTAGAGTTGCGCTGTTTTTTCTGTCTTTCAGAATCTCATGTTTAACATTCCTCGAGACAGAGAGTGTACTTTCTGTGTATTTTTCTTCATTAAACATTTGTTTACTCTGGTTTTGTTTAAGATTTATTTGTCAAAGTAGTATGAGACACTTTTTAGAAGCATTTATGTTGGTGCTTCACTTTGCTGGTGAACAGTCAAGAGACAGTAGCTCATCTGTTGATGTGCAATTTGTGTCATCCTCTAACCCTTCATCAGTGGTCAGTTTCTGACCACAGAGCTGCTCTTTGCTGGATATTTCTGGGTAGTACACCACTCTCAACCTAGCAGTGACATTGTTGTGCCTGATACACTCGTACCAGCACCACAAACATCCTGTCAGCATCACTGCTGTTATTTGCTCTAAACAAATATCTGTTCACCTGTTGTTCTGTAGGCAGAAACTGACCAGTGGTGGGTGTGGTGGAGGGGGGCTGCAGTCTGGAGGTGTGTATCTATATAGTGGACCTATAAGGTAGATGGAGCCCCTGAGAACTACAAGGAAGGAGTTTTTAATAAAGTAGCTGAAGTACACACTTAAAAGAGTGTAAAGAAATGGTTCCAAATAGAACCATGAACACTCAAAGAACCCTTTACATGATCAAGTGGTTGTTTGCATCGTGAAAGGGTTCTTTAGTTTAATGGAGAATGTGTTGCATATGGTTCTATATAACACCTTTTTGAAAAGGGTTCCATATAGCACCAAAAAGGGTTGTGCTATTGTTATAAGATTGACATCGTAACAATAGAAGAACCCTTTTCAAAAAGGTTCAACATAGAACCACACACAACACATTCTCTGTCAACCTGAAGAACCCTTTCACTATGCAAAGAACCATTCAAGCATCAAATGATTCTAAACAGAATCACTGCCTTTACTAAAGAACCGTTGAAGAACCATCTTTTTTAAATGTGTAGTACAAACTGCTACAATTAAATTGCGCCTCATAATGGAGTCGAAACTAAAGCTTAAAGGGGAACTTCACCGATTTTTCAAAATTCGATTATTTAAAATTTTTGTAAAATCAAATGATTAAACCGTAATTCCAAGTGATTTGATGTTAAACGTGCTGTTCTAGATAAACGTTTTTAGCAAAAATTGTTCAGTGGTGGTAGGAACCAGACGTCCGAAGCGTTTAATGCCTCTAAAGCCTCCTCAATAGAAGCTGTTACATGACATATAAGGAAAAATTAAGGGATTTTTTAAAATTAATTTTAGTTCTTATATTTATTTCTTTAACTTTTTAATTTTAACTTTTACCCCTATTGTACTTACTTATTTATTTACCACTGACTATTTTGGATAGCCATAAAATGCGTCTGTATTTGTGTTGTATAACACTGCAAATAAATCCAAGCTGGTAAATTTCTCTGTAATGAATGAACCATTTCAGATTGGAACTCTGACTATCAGTCGCGATGATTAAATTCAGAGGAATTTCCCTACAATCTCAAACTGTGTTACATATATAGCAGATGCCAGAAACAAAGTGCTTTACATAAATAAAAGCAAAAAAGAACATCAGCAAAAAATGAATAACTTTTAAGCAGACAGTATAACTCTTTTGTAGCACCCTACATGAGGAAGATCACCACCTGTAAGTTATTAATCCATCACTGGGATAATAGTTTAGCATTTAACCTTCAGCAGGGTTGATGAAATCTAGGGTTAAGTTTTTTTTTCCAGCACCCTGAATGATGAAGATCACACTGAGTCACCGCTTTTCACCGAATGAATGACCAAGAAGTCCTTTATAACGTCTCTGATGGCAGTACATATTACTTAAAAACTTGAAGGAAATTAAGGTATTAATCCTGAAGAAACGATTTTTGAATTTGGCCTCGCAGTTCATTTCTAATCTTTCTTGTTTGTGTTGCAACGTTTCGTCGCCGTTTCCCCTCAGGACAGTTTTGACAGCAGCACCTAAGTTGCGTCGTCAGTCAGCAACAGGAAGAAAGGCGACACAGTCGGAGCGCTTATGCTGCTGTCCAGTCGGTTGCTTTAAAATCCGAAAGGTGGCTGTTTTTCTCGTAACAGTTATCTGGCTGTAAAAAACGGAGTCTGTAATGATGCTACGAGCTTTCTTCTCGGTCTGTGTCCTGCTGGCTGTGTCTCAGGCTGAAGGCCCCACTCCAGCGCCGAACCCCGCTGCTGCTGTTACCAAAGCAGCCGAACACGGAGCCGCGCTGAGCGGCATCACCAACAAACCCAAACCCGTTGAAAATAACATTAAATCCTTTGGCAACGTGACCCTGTCAAACCTGGATTTTGATGGCTCTATGATTCAGAGGGCCTTATATGTTCTCATTGGCATCACCATAATCGGGGTTCTTTATTTTCTCGTTCGAGCGGTCCGGTGAGTCCCAAGTTTTCTTCGTTAGCGTTAGCTACCTGACTGGCTATCTGAATTAGCTAGCTAGCTAGCCAAGTTAGCTGTTTAGCTAGCATGTATTCATGTTTACAGATTCACAAAAATGTGTGAACCTGTCTTATTCACTCATAAATTCACTCATAATTTCACTTTCCTATCATATTCAGTCTGAAAAAAACAACCACGCAGAGGAAAAAATACGGGCTTTTATCAAACTATGACGACACCGTGGAGATGGCACAGCTGGAGAGCGATGAAGACGACACGACTGTTTACGAAGCCAAATCCCTCAGAAGGTGACGCAGCTGCTTAAAAAGCATATTTTTGTGTATGTTTTGTTGTCAGGTGGTGTCTTGTGGAACTGAACCTTTAGACCGAGGCCACTAATCGTTATGCTGACTAAGTTAGCAGTGAGTTTTTGCTGATGTGTATGATTTGTGTTTTTATCAGATGAGTCTGGAGCACTAAGAGGAGGAAGAATGTAATGAAGACAATCCGTTCTTTTGGGCGATTTGAGAAGAAATACTGGATGTTACAATGCTGGATGTCTACGTTTTTCAGCAATAAAGTGGAATGTGTTCTTGTGATGGACTACACTGACCAAAAAGGCCATCTCTGAACTTCTCAGAAGGTCCTGATTTATGCATTGGAAAGATGGGTGTTGAGTGGAGTGTGGGATTAAACCTGTTTCAGTGATGTTTTGTACCAAAACTGCTCATTTCTCTTTGGGCTCTTTTTTTTCAATGAGCTCTTCAAACTGTGTACTAATCAGTCAAGCTAAGTCTCCACCTTTTGTTCAAGGAAACATGGTACTGTACTTGTTTCATGTCACTGTCAATGATTTAGTTTAACTGAACTTTTTTAACTTTCTCTTTTTTTTTGCTTTATTGTAAATCTGTGTTTAATGGACAGAAATAGGGGAGGTTTTGTAGGTTTGTAATTCCAAAAAGTTCTCTTTCGGAACATTCCTGGTTAGAAATACACTATAAATACTGTGTGAACATTCTTGGAAATTTAATTATTTTTTGAGTTCGGGATATACAATGATATTGGAATTGTATTGATATCTACAGATTTGTCTTTCAAATGTCAAACCAATATTTGATGACTCCAGAAGACCACAATGTCCAGGAGATGCTGAGCTACTATGCAAAAATCTCTACGTTGTGTTTGCATTACTGCGTTTGTAACGCTACACAAATAAAGGTTAGAATTTCTCCACAGTGCCAATCTAAGTGGATGTATTCCCAGTTTCTATATTTTATAAGTGTTTACACGTTGGTTTGGCCGATAGGTGCATGAAAAATGTTCAATGTCAACATGTGGTTACAATTCCCATATCGGTGCAGCCCTGGTTTGAGTATTTCACATTCCCACACTTCTTGTTTTGCACTTAGAAATTGTTGGTAAAGCTTTTATTTTTTGGCTCGTGCTTGTGTAGCTGTTTTTCATGGAAGGTATGAATGAGCGTTAGGAAACGAAGGCGAACAGAGGGTGTGAGAACTTTCCTCTAACGCTCACATATTTTTGCTTATGTGACCGTCAGATGTTTTTGTCTGCAGTCTCTTATGCACAGATTTCTCATGTCTGTGAGCTGATGCTGCCAAAGCTGCAACCCTGATGACGAATGCATCGATTAGCTGTGATTTCTTCTCGATGGAAATGTGTTATCTTGTTATTTTTGTTTGTGCATTTCTTTCTTTATTTCATAAAGGCTGAGAATGTGAGATGGACTAACTTTTGTTGAACCTTGTTAAAGTCGTAGTGCTATTTGGATGGAATGCATGAAATATCTGCAGGTATTTAGTAATCCACATTCAGAAGTCTTCAAGTGTGCCTTTTAAGTATTTTGTTTAAGTCCAAATGATTGTGATTTGAAATGATTTGTGATAACTCTGTTCTCTGCATTCCTGTATTTTGAAAAAGCTTTTCTTTGTAAAATAATAATGAGAAGATTTTATATTTAATATATTTCTAAATCACCCTTTTAAAGAAATTTATGTGGAGGGGTAGCAAATTCATGGGCTGTTAATTCATTTCATATATGATCATATTTTCTGAAATGTATAATTTGCCTCTAAAAAAAAGGCTGTATAGAGAACATATGAGGCCTAATTGGGACGATAAGGGTTTGACTTGTATTGTTCACATTGATTTGTGTGAACAAGCCTGAGTGAGAATGAAATCACAGATAAATACAGTGTCACACTGGATACCAGTTAAAAGTCCACTTTCCTTTGTCCCACTGTAATAGTTGCTCCTAATAGAGGTTATACAGTACAGTTCTACAGTAGGGTGAGTTTGTGTTTCGGGGGCTGTGCCTCTGCTGCTCTTATCGATAACTGCTGTTGACAACAGCATTTCTTTGAAATTGCTTTTAAATAAAGTATCTTCAGCTAAGAGTTTTTGTTGGTCTGTTATTTTAAAAGACTTAAATTGTAAACATTTTTTTTTCATATATACTATTTAAAAGTTTCAAAATGTACCTTACACTGTGCATTGAGATTAGAGCTGGGTGATATGGCAAAGATGTAATATCACAATACCCTGGTCGCCCGGCCGGGAATCGAACCCAGGCCCTTTTTGCTGGGAGGTGACAGCGCTACTCACTGCACCACTGTGCTGCTCTTAACCAATCACAGTAATGATAAATACTGTCATGCTGCCCAGCTCTAATTGGGATGCCACAACCTTGAACAGTTATTTAGGTATGACTGCCTGTTCACGTGGAAGTGAAAAGCAGTGTTGTTACTGCAGACAGTCTGTAGCAGAGTTACTGAAGCGGAAGATGTGAGTTAAACAAATAAACACTGAGCTTAGGAACAAGAGCCAATTACACATTTCCCCATTAAAGGCACAGTAACAAAAACAGCCTGTTTAATTCTAAGGAAATTCTAAAGAGAGGTTGGCAAATTATCACAGATTAATTAGAGCCACTTTTTTTTCTGTGACTAGTATTAACTGACTCAGTGGCCCTAAAAACTTTATTGGGCCCCTCATATATATATATATATATATATATATATATATATACTGACACAATTCATGATGTATCTGATCTATAGATCCTTCACAACCTGCAACATGATATATTCATTATTTATAATTCTAAAATCCTAAAGCAATTCAAATAACATTTTAGCAAAATATGTATGTTGCACAGCAAGAGTTCTATGTAACTTTATTTGGCAAGTGGTATATCATACGGCAAAATATGACCTATAATTATAGTGATCCTAACATAAAGATTTAGATTAATGTTAGATGCTGGTATGTGGAGTGGCAGGCCTTGAAACCTTCAACAATAGCGAGCACAAATAAATTACACTATCAGTGTATTTAGTCCAGATCAATTGAAAGTAATTTTAATTTTATATATATAGATATATATATATATATATATATATATATATATATAGATATATAGTTTGCACGACGGTGCAAAAAATTCTGTAGCCACCAGATGGCGCCCTCAGACCATCTACATCAGAGACATGGCAGTAAAGTTGAGGAAGCTCAGCACAGTAAGGTGAAGGAAGCAATTCCCACCAACACATCAAGGCCAAGCAAAGAGATCTGTGTTTCTGCTGTAAAATCTATAAGAAGGGTGAACAGTGTGTTCTGTGAACAACTAAATGTTCTCACTTATGTGCAAAAAAAGAAGACAAAGCTCCTCGGAATAAAATCGGATGGGCTGGAATCACTCAGAGGATGAACTTAGAAGATGGCTAAAGTAAAAGATATTTCACTGTTAGCTGCCAGAATGTATGTTGTATTTGTTTTCAGAAAAATGTATTAAACTTAATGAATGTTGTGTGTTTAACCCCTTAAATGGCCAGATCCCACCGCAGACCCAGTTTTATTACACACTTCTATAACTTAAGAATAGCTCAGCCAGTTTGTACTGAAGTCCCTGTAGTTACTGAAAATAAGCCTTAGTATGTAACAAGCCTGGGATTTTAAGGGGTAGGCAAGTTCTAGTGAATTGTATTCTTTTTCTTTTTCTTAAAAGTAAAGCAAAACATTAATTGGACAGCTCAACTGTAATTTGGAAGACAAACCAATATAATTCTGTAATTAAAAAAAATAGAATAGAATTAACTGTATTGCATTATATTAATTACATTCACACCTGTATGTTAATTAAAATCTATGTATTCACCTGAAGCCCTGAAAATCGTTTACCGCCCCCCTACATAGCTGACCTCCTTCTCCCCTATATTCCTGCCCATTCTTTGAGGTCTTCTGACAGTGGCCTCTTGATAGTCCCTGTCCAAATTTCCCTAAATTATGGAACACTGTTCCTCCATCTCTTCGACTCCTTCTTTTCCTTTTTCTTTTTTTGTTCAAGCTCAAAATGTGCTTCCTCTTCTTCCCCATCCTAACGATAAGCAGCTTTAACTTTCGTTGGGGAGGCCTTGTAGATTTCTAGGCCCTCTCCACTGATAATCATAGTGACGAAAGTTAAAGAAGAGCTTGTTATTACTGGAAATTAAAAATACATTTGTCATTTTTAGTTAATTTTTATTAATATAATCATCAGGCTTGTTGTATTTAAAGTATTGTAATAATATTCTTATTTTATTGTTAGGTTTTTAGCCCGAAACAAAAAATCTGAAATCTTGTAAAACCTACCAGCATCAGAATTTTGTTTCTCTGATATCTAGGCAGTTACAGCCAATCAATCCAATCCAAGCCAAGCCAGTCTCCCAGTGGATAGGCCTTCAGAACATGGAAAGAAGGCCTTACAGGTTAGATTAACTAACAACATAATAAGGAAGTGACCAGATTTACAATAAGTGGGAACAACTTAGTGAGGAAAAAAGTCCCTCTATGCCTTCTGAAAGTCCTATATTTGTCACTGACTGTAAATGCTAACCGTAGTCTAACCAGGTTTTGAGTCAGTTGTTAGAAATGGAGAACAGTTGAGCTCTATGACAGAGCTCTACACTAAAATAGTGTAAAACTGCAACAAGGTAACTGTATGTTAATATCAGTTAAATGCTTCAATTAAAATACCTGAAATGTCCTTAACAAGGTCTAAATGTTTGTGTTTAATCTACAGCGGTTGAATTAGCGCTAACGTCATGGGGTGCTAGCAGAAATTGTTGTAGAGGTATTTTGTTTTTAGCAGTTTTTGCCCAGGCTTTCACATTTATAAAGGCGTGGCTCTAATGGTCACTGTACTACACTACATGTATACCTGAGTTTGTTTCTGTTTCTTTGTGTCCCATGATTTTTATAGTGGTTTCCTTGTGATAATCTCATTTTCTGATGTTACTTTTCAACTGTATGTTAGTGTCAGTTTTTTTGTGTCCTGATATATTTATTTGTGTTTTCCATCTTGTTGTTTTTGTATATTTCTATATATTAATACTGTCAACCTTTTGTGATATGCAATATTGGGTGTGAGAAAGCTATATAAATTATTATTATTATTATTATTATTATGTCTAAATTTGACTTTATATTCACTTAAAGCTTTCTCAGAAAGCATTCTGAGTCTGTTTCTTGTAACCCTGTTGGTATATTCAACTTATTTTCCCGATATACACTGGAACGCTTCACTGTAATAGTCCCAGATTATACGAGAGCCCATCTAGTGTGTGATCGGATTTGCGTTCGATAATTTCGGTTGACTCGTGTCAAAGACAATTTGCTGCACTTCGAAAAGCGTCGAGAGGGAAGGCAGAAAGGGGAACGAATGCCATTGACTGGCACGGCTGGTGCTGTGAGAAAAATGGCCCCCGAGTTCCCTCCGCCCATAAATGCACTGGAAACACAATGACAGAGCCATATAAATCCCACATTTTAAAAAGAGAGAGTGCTGGGAGAGAGACGAATTCATTCATTCATCCCCACCCCTCCCCCCAAAAAAAGCCCCCATACTTAGTGGGAAGGTGTGCTCCGGCTGTGAGCTTCCTGCATTTCAAAGCCGGAGTGAAAACTGGAGTGTTGTTGATGATTCTTATTTTCTCCAGCTCGATTCAGCAGTCTATCCGCTTTCACGTGAAAGAAAGCCGTGAAAAGCAGCCGCTCCTTGCTACCTTTTAGATGCTATTCAGCGCACAAAAAGTTACCTTTTGTGCCTCTTTATGTGGGTCTCCCAAATCTGGGTTTCCTGTGGAGATCCGCTGGCTGTCTTCAGCTGCTTGTCCAGAGTGTGAGCCGCGTGTGTAAAATATTGGCCTTCCAATAACGGACTTTCAACACACACAAGTCCTTACATCCTGCACCATTTTAAAAGAACCTTAGCACCATCCTTACAGTTTCTCACAGCCATGTGAGCGATGGCAAGAGGTGGAAGGAAACAGTTATCTGTTCACATCATTACTGCAAATCAGCGAGGAATCACTGTGCTAAGAGGTCCGATGGATACGTCCTAACATACCCAACACACTCTCAAATAGTCTGTTCATTTCTAATATGGCGCAGGCAATGACAGCAAATGTTGCTTTTGGTTCATTTAGATGGTTCTTCTCAACTCGTAATCTCAGATATTGCACTGAAGTGGTTTTGGGCTACGTATACAGTAGTGTGCAAAAGCCAGAGATCACCATTCATTTACTTAACTTTCAGTCAAAACAGCCATTAAGCACAAGATGCTCATGTTTCAGGAGAGGTTAGATATAATTCATTAGCATATATAAGAGGAAAATAAGTGAAAAAATGAGTTTCCAAAAGTGGAGTTCAAAAAAATAATTAAAAGTTATAGAGAAAATTGAATTTCTAAATGCAACACAAGATCTGGCAGACCACCAAAACTGTCTCCATCAAATAAACAGTACTTCATGTTTGAGAGATGGGTAGAAAACCAAGCTCCGCTCTTTCTTCGGATCTGAAAAAATCCACAGGTGTTTCTGTCCATCCTTCCACTGTGAGAAGACAACTCAGCACTATGATTCTAAAAGGATGTGCAGCTGTCAAGAATCCTTCACTGAGAAAAGAAATAGACAAAAAAAGAACGAAGAGGCTGCTGGTGTTCTCAGAACAATGGACTGACCACCCCAGAGCCCAGACCTCAACATCACTCAGTGTGTCTGGGACTACTTGGATTGTGAGAAGCAGAAAATGCAACCAACTTCAAAGACTGAACTTGGGAGGTGTGGAAAAATATCTCTGTAGTGATGTCTGCAGACTTTGGAACAGGCCGTACCAGTTGTTTGCATTTGGCTGTTTTTCGGCAACCAATGAATATATCACATGAATGATATGTATATTCACTGGGATGGACTGGTGAAATTGCTAACCATAGAAAAAATTACAGGGCTTGGCTGTTCAAGGTGTGCTTGTTTACTACAGTCTTAATCAGTGGCTGTTCCTGCCAAATCTCTCAGGGGGGGCAATGATGCCTGTTTGGCATGAGCAAAGATTTCTCTTTACGCTACATATTTTACAGT